CCCGTGTGGAGTTCTAGGATCCTGTAAAAATTCTGCAGATCTGCAAAATTTTAACACACCCACCCCCTTTTGCTTGCTCAGTTTGGAGTAGGCATATATGTAATGTATTTGGAGTGAGCAGGACAGTATTTCAGCTATAAAAGGATAGTGTCTGGCTGTACATGTGTGTCCTTGTGAGGTCCTGGGTAGAACCTGTTGTGTAAAATAAGCTGCCATCCTCCTATCTGACTGAACAAGACCTGCTTGCTCCAGCATTTCTATAGATCTTAGTCTCCAGAATCTTAAGAGCTTAATTCTCTGTATGAATGCTGGGAAGAGGATTTCAAGATCCTTGAGAAGAAGAATAGTGAAAATACTGGCTCTGCAATTGTTTCCTGGCTGCTTAAACCTTACTCAAATGGATCTATAGCCAGAACAGCTGATTAAAGGTCAGCTTGGTGGGAAATGTGAATGAAGGACTATTAGGTTTCTTTGCAGGTTACTCAGGTTATGTTTCTGTCATGACAGAAGCTGGGGTGCCTGACCTCTGCCTCCTCTTTTGATTTCACCTTGCCTGGGGGCTTCCCTGACAGTGGGACCAGGATTAGATCATGTTGAGGGAGTTGTCTCATTGAGCTTTGAAAAGTGAGGAAGCATCTTCCTGAGGCTCTGCTGCTGCCCTTGACCAGAGCCCACACCTGGTGTGTCAGTGACATCAGGGGACAGTATTTCTGCCCTGCCTTCTCCCCTGGCTGGCTCCTAGGGCAGTACAGAGCCCTGCCTTTGGCGTGTGAGTGCAGCAACAGGTCTGTCTGTGTGCTGTTCTTTTCTCGCTGAGAAGCTGCTGGTGCAGCTGGCTCTTGGTGTGCATCCAAACCTTCCTGAAGCAGCTGTGTCCCCAGAGTGCTGTGCAGGGCTCCTGGCTGGGGCCTCCCCTGCACAGACACCCCTGAGCTATGTGCAGAATGGCTCTGTTTGTCTGGGCAAGCTGTGTAGGGGGGTGTCTCCCTCCAGTTCTCCTGCCATGGCTCGTGGTTTATTTTGGGACTGATGTGGGTGTAAAGTGTCAGCCTGAAGCAAAACACTCAGCGTGGACGTTGAGAGCACAGGGCTAGGAGGCTGCTTGCTGTCCTGAAATGCTGAAATAGCTTGGATGAGGTGAAACTGTCCAGTGGCCAAACGGAAACCAATTCCTTCCTTATAGCCCTGGGCTGATTGGGGTTTTCAGAGGAGAGAGCTCCTGGCATGGAACACTTTCTCTAGGAACAGCTCTTCACAGCTCTTAACCTGCACAAAGGCTATCTGTGTGCTACAGTCCTCCTGCCCCAGCTCCCGTCTTGTACTTGGAGTCCCCTATAACTGTGGTGCATCCTGTTATTATTCTCTACTTCTGTGGGGTTTAATTAAAATGCAGGTCTTTAATTTTTAATTTTTCCTTCCTGTTGATTCGACTGTCTCTGCGTGAACGAGGTCTCGGTGCAATTACTGTGCTCCCTGTGGAGAAACAGACATTTAATTCAGCCAGCAGACTTTTTCTTGGAGGGGGTTTATTTTCCTGATCTTCCTACTCAGAGGGATGCAAAAGCAAAACTTCCAGTGAGTAAAGAATGCCACACTTTCCTTGGTTGTTCTGGACAGGTTTGCTGCATCTCAGTTACCAAAATGTTGTGTTCCTTGCAGAGAGCTGCCTCCTTAAGCAAAGGGCTTGTGGTGAAGCTGCTCAGCACAAGTTGCATTAGCAGGTCGAATTTTGTCTTCACAACCCTGTTCTTGCAGCAGTGATGTAAAAATACGTAGTTTTATTGTAGCATTAATGTGTCTCATGATTTGTTGACCTGAGAACAGGACCAGGCAAAAGTACCTTGGTGCCTGCTTGCTGTGGGGGCCAGAAGAGACAGAGGCTCCTGCTGCTGTTTGGGACCCAGCTGAGCTCCTGGCAGGGAGATCGACTCTGAACCTTCAATAAAGGGTGGAAATATTGGCTCTCTGATTTCCATTGTCCTTATTTAAGTCTGCTTCAGCTAACTTAGTGCTTTTGCTAGCTGAACTCTCCTTGTGCAGCTGTAGGTCGCTGCTGAAACGTGCAAAGACAGGATTTCTCTGCACCTCCTGAATTGCAGTCCCAGGCTTTCAAAATACCTCAGGTTCTTTCACCTCCAGACCTGAGGCTCCCTCAGTTCCCGTTGTGTGTGCCAGGTTATTTTCTCTGTGTTCACAGAGATCATATCTGTATGTATCAGACACTTCCAAATGTAGCCTTGTTCTCTCTCCATGTCTTTCCAGCTCCAGCCGTGTCTGTTCTGTTTGACTTGCTGGTGTTTAACCTAACAGGCTTGTTGATAGAAGTGGCTTGTGAGGCTGATCCCTGTTCTGACCCCTGGGACTTGCTGGGAGCACAGTAAAACCTTGGTGAAAGATAAGTGCAGTGTTATCAGAGGCAGTTCTGGCACACAGATCCTCGCTGGACCTGTGAGTAGTTTGGGATCCTCATGCTGGTGGCAGGGACACACTTGGCATGTGATTTGAGTAAGGTATGGCCCCTTTCTGCCACATGTCCTGAAGATTGCTTTGATTTGTAAGCTGCCAACTTGGACTGAAATAATGTGTTGAGGGTAAGAGTGATTTGATGGGATTTAAACTGATTTTTATCCATCCCCCACACACCCTGCCCCCCGCCGATGGAGAGGATAAACATTCCATTGTTTTTTGTGTGAAGTGCCTTTTAGTACCAGCAGCCCAGCACTGGGGGATGAAGAAAGCAGATGTGTCCCGTGTCTTTTTAAACTGCTTTTGTTTTTCTGATCACTGTAAAGGAGGCTTTTAATTTTTTAAATTTTTTTTTCCCCCCCCCAAGCAGCAAGTGCTCCGCAGGGTTTGATCAAAGCTCATAAATGATGAATTGAAGGAATGCCCAGCGGAGAACAGAACGCCCTCCTTGTGCTCTGCTCTGTGTGCTGAGAACACCATTGTTTCTTCCCGTACCTTTTCCATCCTGGAGCTCGGGGCTGCAGAGAAAAGGCCTTTGTTCCTTGCCTGTCAGCTGAGACAATGCCAGTGTGTTGTCCTACCTCTGCTCTCAGCACCTGACTGGCCGCAGCTCTGTGGCTTTTGGCAGGCTGAGCACAATTGTCCTCCAGCTCCAGCGTTACAAGGAAAACAAACAGCTTCACAGCCTCCCTCCTGCAGGTCCTGGCCCACGGGTGTGTGTCTGTGCTGCTGTTTCCTTTGGGATGCACAGGAAAAGCCAGCAGCCTCTCCTGTGCTCCAGGTTGGGAGATGCAGCTTCACCTGACTCCCAGTGCACACAGGGGGACAGGAGGGGACAGAGGCCCTGGCAGTGCTGGGTTTTCCACCTCTTGGTGACTTCTGCATCATCTCTGGTTGTGCTGTCTTGTGATGCAAAGCTCTGCAAAGGAGAGAGCTGTAGTCCTCTCTTCTCTTGGTTTTTGGGGGTTTTAGCAGAGCTTTGCAAGTGAGGAGGGAGAGCAGATGGCATGGGTTGGGGTGGAGAGGAGAGCAGGGACATGTTGTCCTGGCAGGGATGTGTTTGGGGTGGTGCTGGAGTGCAGACCACGAGCCTGGCTCTTCCCTGCTGCCGGCCCTGTGTGAGAGACCAGAGTTCAGGCAGAGCCACGGGTGCTTCAGGATGAGAGCAGCACTACTTGCTTCAACACCTGCCCCCAGTGCTGTTGGGAAGAGCCTTTAGCTGCCTCTCTCCTGCTGTTTTACACCCAGGCTGATCCTGTCTGCCCTCAGGCATTGCAGCGAATCAGTCGGAAAGGCGGTGGAGGTGCAAGTCAGCCTTGCAGTGCTGCATTACCTGGCACCAGAATGAAGTACCGTAGTTGAGGTGCAGGCCTCAGTCAGTGGCACTTGTGCCAAAATCCAGCACCAGCTCCTCTTTCATTCCCATCTCCTGCTGGACTTCACCCCTCCATGAACAGCCCTGATTTTACACCTGGTCTGGGAGAAAGAGCTCGGCAGTGGGTGTGAGAGGAGCAGTGCTGATGCCTGCTAACATTCCCTGCCAGAGGCCAGAGATGCCCATGCCATGGAGTAAGGACCTGACACAAAGGCAGTGCTGGCTCCTGGCCAGCGTGACAGATGATGTCTAGTCACTACAGCCCGCCCAGCAACTTTCTCTGCCCTCTGCTATCCTCAAACTGAGCTGTCTTGGCTTCAGGTTTATCTTTGCCTGAAGTTTGTTTAGGGGTATGCCTCTGAATTCCCGCAGCTGGTGGTAACTTCTGTGAAACTGTGACAGCACCAAGGTTCCCGTTACCCAGAGCCTGAACTGGGCTGCAGAGACTGAATTCCATCTGCTCCCTGTGCTGGGAGGCAGAAGTGCAAACAGCTCTAACCAGAACAATGTAGCATTGCCTGGGTGAAGAATGTGATTTACTTGCATATGTGTGGCATGTGAGCACCAGGGCCAGAGGGCACCGCTCGAGTCCTCTCCTTTCTCTTTCCTTTTTTTCTCCCTGCCCTTGCCTGAGCCACTTGCAAGCACTTTTGTTTGGGGGTGAGCACAAGAATGTGTGGGTTGACAAGAAGAGGTGGCAGCGAGATCTTTGGGAGCCAGGAGTCTGAGACTGAAAAAGCCAACAATCTAGGGAAGCCTTGTAGACAAGTTTAAAATTAGATTGACCCTATGCTTTCATATTGCTGGAATTTAATTCCTCTGACCCTGAAGCTTTTGGTCTGGCTCAAAGCAAGGGCTCCCAGGCTGTGGTCAGTGGAGGCCAGTGCTGTCTGAGGCTCTCATGTGGCCATGGGTCTGTCTCAGAGACAGATGCACCCCCTGGCCACCTCCTTGTGTTTATGAAAGGTTGAAGAAGTTCAGTCTTGAGAAGCCAAGGAAGCCTCACATATTTCTGCTGTCTTTGTCTGTATCAGCGTGGGGCTTGTGTCTGGAGCCTGTTCTCCCTCAAACTGGAATACTGCTGTGCAAAAGCTGATCAGAGCTTTTCCTTTTTCAGACGTGATTTCTGTAACTGTTTCTCTTCTGTTCCTGTTTGCAGGTTGTGCAGCTTGACATTAAAGAAACTGGTAGTCTTAAAGGAATTGGATAAGGAGCTTATTTCCGGGGTCATTGCTGTCAAAATGCAGGTAATTACTGCCCAGTTCTAAGAATTGTGGTGTTTGACTAAGAATTCTGGCAGGTGCCCAGACTGAGCTTTCAAGTTTCAGAGGTCTCTGGCTCAGCTAAGGATCCACAGACTTCTTCAACTTCTGCAGCTTCCACGTTGCATCCACAGACTTCTTCCCAAGCCCATCAGGGTGTTCTGGATCTGTGTAGACTCTTTTCTTACCCTTCTCCCATGTTCCAAAGTAATTTCTCTGTTGTAAGTGAAGAATATTCTTCACCAATGGCTCAGCAGGAGCTTATCTGCATGTAAAAATGCTCTTCACAGATCACATGTCCACTTTTCTTCCTGAGCTGGCATTAAATCCCAGCCTGGATCTCTGTTTACCAGTCTAGGGCTGAACATCTTGGTAACTGGGTCTTGGTTTGGGGGAGTGTGGGCCTTCCCCTGCTGCTGGGCAGCTCTGCTGTGTCGAGTCTGTAGCCAAGCTTGTCAGTGGGTTTGTAGGGTGCCTGTGCAGACTAATTGCTTTTCCTAAAATACAGTTGTCATCCTGAGCAAATACCCCACTTGAGAGCAGATGTTTGTGCCATTTAATGAGGTGCCTCCATGTAGGTCACTCTGCCTGGAGGGGGAAGGAAGGGGGCTCGGTGCGTCACAGCAGCGCCTGGGCCCACGTGCTCCCATCTCTGCACACCCTAAAGTGCTTCACCAGGAAAAGCCTGGCAGACCTGTAAGTAGAACATTAACTGGGCTGGAAAGCTGCTGCTTTTCAGATGAGGAGCTAGGCGAACCCCTGCAGAGAGCTGGTTGTGTCAAAGCAAGCAAAGTCTCGTTTGGAAGGTGAAATCGGGAAGGAAAAACACATAGGTGAGGATTTAATTGGTGTCTCTCCTCTCTGAGTGGTCCAGCTGGGATAAAAATGTGCCACTCTTAAGTTGGAGGGGGTTTGTGCACCCAGAGCAGAGGGCAGAAAGGCAGGGAATTGCTTCACACACCTGGATTTGTGTTAGCCTCAGAAGAAGCCCTGCTGTGGGTTTCCAGGCTGTCAGATACTGCTTGTCAAGGCTGAAAGCTTTCCATATGTTTGTACTCCTAGATGATGAATGCATCGCTGTAAGCACCTGAGGCTTGTCAGAGACTGATCTGTGCCCAGAGAGTGCCAGACTTGGGTTGAAGAATTCAGAAGCTTTTATTAGAGCAAGACCTCCTTTTCCTGCCCAGACTACTGCTGCTTACACCTTCTATAGGGGAAAGCTTGCCCAGACCCACAGATCCAAAGGGAATTATAACACGTGGGAGTTTCACATCCCATTTTGTGTGTGGGTTGTGGTCTGCACTGCTGAAGGATTCAGACACTGGAACCTGAGCAGTCCTCTCCACAGCAGGGCCTGCTATTAAAAATCCCTTCAGAGCTTGCAGGTTATGATGCTGATGCTGACAGGCTTTTCCAGGGATGCTTTATTTGCCAGCACTCAGGTTTCTGACGTGGCTCTTGTTTGAGGCTGGTGGCACTGGATCATCAGATACAAGGTCTCTGTCACACGACTGCCTTTGTGTGGGGAATTGCACTGTCAGACAGCAGAGCCCTTCCAGAGGGGATGGCTGAATCCAGACCTAATGAGAGCCATCCTACCTGCATCTCCCATGTTTCCTTGCAGCCTCCAGAGCAGAGATGTTCAAAGAGTTGTCAGCTGTGTTTCCTGAGCCGTTGCTCTGTTTATCTGCTGTGCTCTTTTAAAAGCAGCTATATTTGGGCTTTCATTAGGTTCTGGTTGCGTAACCAGCAAAGCAAGCTTGCTGCCATTAGGAGCTTTGCACAAATGGAGCAGCTGCTGCTGCTGCCAGCAGCCAGGCTGGCTGTGCTTGGCTGGCACGTGTGCTGCTTGTCCTGGGGGCAGCCCCTGGGTGCCTGGCTGTGCTCTGTGTGTGCTGTCACATCTGCTGGGGCTCAGGCACCCCGGTGTTCCCAGAGAGGAGCTGCAGCTGGGCAGGGCTGAGGCAGGGCTGCAGATCACAGCCTGAGCCCTGCCTTTGGGGAGGAGGGGATGGAGACGAGGCTCTGCTGCTGTCTCATCTCCTGATGCTCTCTGAGGCTGATGGGGCAGACCACATTTCCCCCTGGATGTAGCTTGGAGGTGTTTACCCCCCCAGTCTGTCTCTGATTTCCCAGATGCTGCTTTTTTGAGAGCTCCAGTTCTGTGCCCGTCTGGACAAAGCCAGATCTGCAGCCTCAGCAGAACGCTGAGCCAGAGACCTCTGAAACTTGCACTGTGTTTGAAGAGTGCAGAAGGGTTTGCTAGGCAGCAGTCTGTCATGTTTTCCTGCTAGTTTTCCTTCAAACATTGCCTGGAATGAAATGCTCACACAGTAAATAGCCTGGTAACTCTGTTAGCATAAGGCAGCCCACACACAGGATTCATTTGGAGTTGCCCTGTGATACATTAAATCTCCAGACTCCACTGAGATGCTTAGTGAATTTTTTCTTTAATATCCCTAGCTGCTGGCAATTGCTTAAACACGTTGAAGTCCCCATGTTCCCCGGGGAGGGGTGTGTGCACAAAAAGAAAAGCCCAGCCTGCCATGGCTAGCACCAGAGATTTAAGCATGATGCTGCAGCTCCAGACCCAGGAGACAAGAGCCTTGTACCTATTGGCTGCAGCGAAAATAGGAGACTTGGACTCCGGGGATGGGGGTTGGCTCACAGCTTTTCAATGCTGGGGTTTGGCAGAACAAAAGCTGCATTGTTGCAGTTAGGGACAGTAAATATGCCCAAATCTTTATTAGTCAAATATCTCCCTTTCATCTCATTAATATTTCACAGAAGTACAAGGTCAGAGCCATCCGTTCACTTCACTTCTGTGTGGTAGTCCCTGACAACGTTTCCTGGTGTGCAGTAAACAGGGCTGGGATGGGATGTGAGAGGTGCCTCGGGGCAATTCACAAGTGCTGGACTTTGTTTCCCTGCAGGGCTCCAAGCGCATCCTGCGCTCCCACGAGATCGTGTTGCCCCCGAGTGGACACGTGGAGACAGAGCTGGCGCTGACCTTCTCTCTGCAGGTAGGGCTGGGCTGGCTGCTCCTGCCGGGGCTGCTGCTGCTCCCCCGGGCTGGGCTGCAGGGAGCAGGGCTGCCTGGGGGCTCCCAGGTGATGCAGGGCTGCCTGGGGGCTCCCAGGTGATGCAGGGCTGCCTGGAGGCTCCCAGGTGATGCAGGGCTGCCTGGGGGTTCCCAGGTGTGGGGCAGGGCTGCCTGGGGGCTCCCAGGTGATGCAGGGCTGCCTGGGGGTTCCCAGGTGTGGGGCAGGGCTGCCTGGGGGCTCCCAGGTGTGGGGCAGGGCTGCCTGGGGGCTCCCAGGTGATGCAGGGCTGCCTGGAGGCTCTGAGGTGATGCAAGGCTGCCTGGTGGGATGCAGGGCTGCCTGGAGGCTCTGAGGTGATGCAGGGCTGCCTGGAGGCTCTGAGGTGATGCAGGGGTGCCTGGTGGCTCTGGCTGCAGGTCCTGGTGAGCAGCAGCAGCGCAGCTTGTCTGAATCTCCTCTCAGTGTGCTGGCTCCCAGCTCCACCACAGTGCATCCTGGAGCAGGAAGGCTCTGCAGGCTCTCCTCTTCAAGGCATGGCTGTGGCAGAAGCTGAAGCCAAGCAATTTTTTTGCTCTTTTTTGCCCTTTGTTGCCTTTTAATGAGCAGGCAGTGGAGGATAGCAGCCATGAGGGTGGTGTGCAGTGTCAGGCTGACAGAAGGCAGTAGTAGCAATGAGTCAGGTGAGTCTCTGATTTGCAGCTGCTGAGGGAGGCACCATTTGGGGAAGCAGGAGCAGTGTGCTCATAGTTACTCCTGGCTCTGGAGTCACAGGAACAGCTGTGAATTGGAACAACTGCATCTTTTGGTTCCTCTTTTCTCCAAAGCCTGCTGCCCTGGTGCTGCCTCCTGAGCAGGGAAATAAGGTAAATAAGGGCTGGCTTGCTGAAAGTGAGAGAGAGGATCCTGCACACATAGAGCAGAGGCAGACAGACCTCAGGAGCATTCATACCTGGATTATCTGTGTTTTGTGACTGTGGGTTAGAGCTTGACTTTAGGACTTTGATGTGGTAAGGAGAAAGGCTCAGGTGATGATGTGAGGCTGGTTGTTACCCAGACCTGTGCAGAGTGAAGCAGGAAAGCTTTCACTGCAGACAGATGATAACCCTGCAGATGGCTGGGTTAACTGCAGCATTGCATCCCCTGCTTTGTGAACAGGAATAACCAAGGATGCCAGGAATATCCACACCTGCATCCCGTGGCTGCAGCTTTCCCATGGCTGGGAGCAAAGCTGTAAGACAAGCCAGGTCTCCCTCTGCCAGTCCTGTGTCAGCAAGGAGCCAGGTCTGCAGATCTTTTTGAATTCATTTGGATTGTGGTGTGTTGGGTTTTTTCCTGGGGCTCAGAGCAATGCTGTAGCAGGGTGCAGAGCACTGCCTTTAACTCTGTTTCCCCTGATGGGGCTGGGGATTGAGCCAGAGCAGGGGACAGGAGGGGCTGTGACACTGAGCCTGCAGCTGAGGTGAGTGAGCTTAAAGCACAGAGGAGCTGCTGGTCTCTGGCTGCAGGAAGGGTTGGTGGTCTTGGATGCAGAAAGGCCTAGGAAGCATTCATGAAACAGCACAGCTGGATTTTTATGGCAACTGTTACTGCTGCTTAATTGGACAATGGCTGAGAGCTACTTCTAGCTAGCAGCCATAGCTTAATTCAGCTACAGCTGAATTTAGTGCCTGGGATATATTTGAGAGTGGTGATGGGCCACAAAGTAAAAGCATGTGGGTGTCACAGAGCAGAGTTTTGTTGTCTTGCAGCAGTCCGTATCTCCATATTGCACGGTCAGCTCTCAACACCTTGTGCCTGGCTCTGTGCTGCCTGCCTGGATTTGCAGCCCCTCGTGCCTTTGTGCTGCCTGCCTGCTCAGTTCCCTCTCCTGGGTGACATTCCTGTCCTTTGCAGGGAGACTTCCCTTGGCAGAGCTGAGCTGGGGTGTTCTGCTGGCTGGTACAATGTGACCGTGTTCACAGGGGTCTGAGGATGAGGGAAGAGACGAGGATCTGACTCCATGTTTCAGAAGGCTTGATTTATTATTTTATTATATATATTATATTAAAACTATACTAAAAAAATAGAAGAAAGAATTTCATCAGCAGGCTAGGTAAGAACAGAAAAAAAAGAAAGAATAATAACAAAGGTTTGTGGCTCGGACAGAGAGTCTGAGCCAGTTCACTGTGTTTGGCCATTAATTAGAAACAACCACATGAGACCAATCACAGATGCACCTGTTGCATTCCACAGCAGCAGATAATCAATGTTCACATTTTGTTCCTGAGGCCTGTCAGCTTCTCAGGAGGAAAAATGCTAAGGAAAGGATTTTTCATGAAAAGATGTCTGTGACAGTACAACAGTGAGCAGCCCCTGGTGTGTCTGGCCTGCCTGTGCTCAGAGTGAAGGAGGAGTTTGCTGCTGCCCTGTCACACAGCTGGGACTGGAGTCTGTGCCCTGTGCAGTCCTGCTTCCCCTCCCAGCCAGGGCTAAAGCTGAGCCAGCAGCAGAAGCTAATTCACCCTTCTGGCAGGTGAGCTGTCATCACCCTTCCTGCTGGGATGTCTGCTTCTCCTGACCCACACTGCTGTGGGTCACGGAGCCCAGGGAAATTCCCCTCATATTCCAAGCACAACATCACAGCTCTCTGGCATTAATTAAGAGCTCTGCACTTAATTCCTGTCTTTAATCTAATAAACTTTTCCAGATGGGAGAGATTACATTGTTGGGGCTTCAGAAAAAGTCTTGCCCTGACTCTCACTGTTCTGGTGTGTGCATTTTCTCACCCCACAGAGGTGCCTTGAGGTGTTTGGTGCTCCCTCTAAAAGCTTTCAAATGTTTTGAGCCAAACTATTTTCTTCTCCAGCTTCTGTCATGGACTGACAGTCACTGAAAAGTTTGTGGTGAAGCAATTCTGGAGAGTTGATAAGTCATGGCTGGTGTTAAAAAAAGCTGGACTGTGCTATCAGATAGCTCATCTTTTCTTCTGGAGGGCCTTGCTCTTGATGGAGGAGCTCAGTGGCCTGAGTCTGTTCCTTCCTCTACCACTTCTGTGAATGCTCAATAGAGGAGGCCAGGCAGTACAGCTGAGACGAACAGAAACTTGTACATCTGTAGACTTGAGCTGTATGCTCCCAAAAAACTGGACACATTCAAACTGAGCTGGCTGGCACCAAGGGTGACTTGGGACTTCAGTTCTGGGTTTGTACTTAGGCAGCCTTGGTGTGGCTCAAATGCTGTGAACTGAGAGCAAGGAGTGGGCTGAGAGCAAGGAGTCCCTCTTCCCTGCTGCCCTTCCAACATGTGGAAGTGCCCCAGAAGGAATGAAATGGTAAATTTGGGTGTGAAATGTGCCTCTGGCTTTTTGAGCCCCTCCTGCCCCTTCTCTCCAGTAACTTTCTTCCATCCTTCTTCAGGGATGTTGCACACCTGTAGGGTCACAGGCTCTGTGTGTTTTGGGATTGTCTTTTAGTCAGGTGGGTTGTTGTTCCTCTCTTTGCAGTGCCTCTGCCTCGGGCAGTGAGCAGTACATCAGCTAATTAGTATTCTTCTTGTTTGGGTGGCCACTGCTCCCAGCTCCCTGCAGAGCAGTCAGGCTTGCTCTGGACTGCAAATTAGTGTCTCAGGGGTTTCTGGGGGTGTTTGCTATGTGATTTTATCAAGTGTTTTGATGGGCAGGAAGTTAATTTTCATAATGTCCCAAGGAAAAAAAAGAAAGTAGTTCTTCCCTGCAAAAGTAGCATCCTTTGCTTGGGAATGTCCTCTTTGAGATCCTGGCAATTAGGTTCTCCTGTCTGCTGATTATTTAGTACTATTTATGTTGTATATTTGAAGCACATGTCCCAGTCTCATCTCTTCTTGGGATGAGAACTGGTCAGGTTGCTGCTTTATCTTTCCTTGAAGACTTTTCTTCCTTTGGACAGCTCCTCCTTCATGGTTGTGGTTGTGGTTAGCCTTACTCATTCCCTAATAGTCTGCTTGGCTTCACAGCTTTCTGTTCCTGGGGACTTTCTGGAGGAGGTGTATAAACAAATGTATTTTCTTGTATGGAACATGCCTTGGGAGGATTTATGTCTCTGCAACATAACCTGGCAGTAGGACAGGTTTTTTTTTCTTGACTTAATTAATTAAAATACAACCAATTAAGAAGTGTCCTTGTGCTGGGGGGAAGGCAGTGTCCTGCCAGGAGTGTGGGGTCTGTGGCTGTCCCTGCCTTGTGCAGGGCAGCACCAAGGCTCCACTCCTGGGCATCAGCTCTTGGGGACAGTGTCTCCTGGAGGCTGCTCATCCCCCTGGGGCCAGCCCTTCCCAAACTGAGCAGCAGCTCTGTGTGCCTGGGTTGTGTTTTTGGAGTGCCTGTCTGAGCTGTTTGAGTCTTCCCCAGGATAATGAACAGCTGTGCACTGAGTGTGAGTGAGCTGCAGGCACTTAGGAAAGTCCTGGGGCTGTTCCTTAGGAATGGAGGTTATCCATGAAGCTTGGGAGATACTGCCAGGAAGCAAAATGAACTTTTGCACTGTGTTTCCCACCTCAGTACCCTCACTTCTTGAAGAGAGAAGGCAACAAGCTCCAGATCATGCTGCAGCGGCGCAAGCGCTACAAGAACAGAACCATTTTAGGCTACAAGACCCTGGCTGTGGGATGCATCAACATGGCTGAGGTGAGCTGCTCTCCACAGGCTCTGCTTGCACACCTGGACATCCTCCCTTCCCTCCAAACCCACTCTTGTCACCTGCCTCATTGAGAAGGACCTGACAGGGTTTCAAATAGCTGCAATCTTAATAGCTGCAATTGATATTCACAGGGCAATATTTGAACCAGATTTTATTACTGAGTAATAATACTGAGCATTTTCTGCCTCATCTCTTAGTAGCTAAAGCTTTCACAAGGACAGCTTGTGACCTTTTGAGGGTTTTGTTACTGTTTTGTGGCTTTATTGGAGTTAGGGGGTCCAGATCAAAAGTGCAGAACGAAACAGAGTCACTCGGGCAAGTCTGCCAACCCTGAGAAGTGGTAAAATTAAAGCAAGATTTGCTGTGCTTCTCAGTGCCGCAGTATGAGAGTTCAGGATTAAGCAATTTCTCTCATTTTGCTTGAAAAACCCTTGGCCATTGTTGTTTCATGGCTGTTGGTAATTTAGGTGGAGCTCTATTCATGAGAAGTAAATGATAAAATTAATGCTGGAGTCAAGTATGGATAAATTATTCACAAAGGCTTTCTGAATGGCATAGCTCCATGCTTTGTTACTTCATGCCCTGTTTAATCTCTGCTGTTTCAGTGTCTGAGTGTTTAGAAATGGGCTTAGCAGTAGCAAGTTCAGTTTCACACCAATATTTTTCATCAGACTGCATTCTGTCAACAAATGACTTTTATCCAAAATAAGCAAATGTTACTCTGTGGTGAGTTATTATTATATTAAATAATTCACTCTAAAGAGTGCTTCTCTTGTGTGAGTGCAGCTTCCCTCAGCCCTGCACTGAATGGTGAGCTCCTTATTTGAATTGGCCAAGTGCATGGTGTTGCAGCTAACATTTTTCCTGCACTGTTTGATTTGTTGGACAACCAGAAAGTAAATACTGCTGTAAGGCAGAAAACATGTGGGCCCATTAATTAGAGTCACTGGTGAACTTCTGAGTGTTGGGCATTTTGCTGCTGCTACATGTGGTTTTTCTTATGTCTGTTTGTAATGTCAGCTGACTGGGGTTAGAAGGTCAAAAATGTTCCAAGGTTCACCATGTTAGGAAATAGCTGCTTTCCAGCTCATCTGGAATATTTATGAAATTGAAGTCTTCGGGAAAACTGATTTTACAAGCCCTCCCCTCCCCTTTGGAGTTTATAGGATGATGACCCCTAAACTCCACTGACTCATTTCTTTAAAAAAATATAAAAAGTTCTCTTAAGCTGTTGAAACGGAGCAGTGAATTGGAGTTGAGAGTGAGCAGTTTCAGAGCAGGGGGACATATGTTCCTCATCAGCTCAGGTCTGTTTAGGTCCCTGTGAGGAGGCAAGAGCAGCCTGGTGTGTGTTGCTGTGCAGGTGAGGGGTTGGGCTCACTCACTCTGGTGGGAAAAGAGAAGATCACAACATTCTGGGGAGAAACCTCTGAGCTGGGAGTGGCAAAGGAAGGAGAAACCTGCACCAGGATGTCCCTCTGCCTCCACCACTGACTTGTTTGTCATGCCCTGCTGCTTCATTGTCCTGTGGTTGGTGGCCAGTTCCTCTGAGATTTGTGTGTCAGCTCTCCACAGCAAGGATATTTTGCTTTAGGAGGCACTCTACATCTGTATCTCACCAAGAATTTTTGCTTTTACCGGCTCTTTTGCTTGGTTTTAAGACAAGATCAAGTTCCTTAATTAGGTGTTCAGAAGGTGGGTAACTTGATAATTCAAATCAGTTCTGTGCTGGGGAAGCAAACACATAGTAATGAGGTAGTCAAGTACTCTGCTTCAAGGGTGAGCTAATCAGCTCTTAAGTTCAGAATTTTGTTTTGTTTCCTTCCATCACTTTCATTAGCAGTCAGATAAAATCTCAACGAGCCTCGTGGATTGCCTGCAAGTGGCTCCTGTGGTTACAAGGTCCTGGAAATGTAGAGTAACCCCATTAACATAAAAAACTCTAGTAGTATGCAAATGATACAAGTTTAAATACACTTAAATGCAGATTTGTTCTGCTTAATTTCTGTCCCAGGTGATGCAGCACCCTACAGAAGGTGGCCAGGTTCTGAGCCTTTTCAGCAACATCAAAGAGGCTCCAGTGAAGGTGGCAGAAATCTGGATCTTCTCCTTGTCAAGTCAGCCAATTGACCATGAGGACAGCACGATGCAGGCCAGCCAGAAAATCAAGTCTACAGGTGAGAGTCCAACCACGTTCTCTGAGGACCTGTGAGTGTCCTCCTGAGCCAGCTGGAGTTAAATTACCCCACCTGGGCTTGGATGCTTCCTGGGACAAAGGAGGACTGGTCTGCACAAGTTGCTGTGTCTATGAGTGATCAGTGCAAAGAAAACCCACTTTGCAAAAGTGCTGCTGTGCAGGCAGGGAGCGTGACAGGGGTAGGGGGCTGAGTTGTCAGAGCTTCTCCAGCATGCCACACCACACCTGAGCCATCAGCAAGGCTTGGCTGTGTCCTCAGCAGTGCTCTCCCAGCATTATGGGTGGTTGTTTTGGGAGCCTGTAGCTTCTCACCTGGCTATCAGTGTTCTATTCAGGAGATTCACATTTAAGCTACTCTTTCATCTTCTTTTTCCTTTGAAAAGAAGGAAATTTTTTCTACAATAAATTTCATTAACTTCAGATGAGACCTGCAAGCCTGCAGCATATTTTGCTGGGGGTGATGGCCTGGCTTAATGAGTGTAAATCCATGATGTTGTGCACTGTATAGGGAAGTCACTGGGTTCAGGCTTGTGGTGATGTTTTTATGTGGTACCAGCCCTCTGCTCACTGCTGGAAGAGTGACCTGCTGCAGGTAGTGCACATGTGGTGTTTGTGTGTTGCTGCCTGGGGCCAGGCAGCTCACCTGAAGGGCCATTTCCATAAAGGTTTTGTCGTGTTTCACTTGCCCCTTTAAGTCAGTTATGCACAGGTGAGGGGGAAAAAGAATTTCCCTTGTGGAGAAACCTCTTTACTTGCTGCTGTCTACCAGGTGGTTGGTACTTTCCAATGGGAGGAAGTTTCCTCCTCTTATTAAGAGGAGGAGGAGCCTTCTCTGTGTCCTGGTCCTTCCTTCTTACTGGGTGTGTTTCTCCTCATTCCTTTCCTCCAGACAATTCCCATCTCACTGGTTCTAGCAGGGATAGATGCCTGCTAATTTATCTTCTCCTTGTGTGCCTCCTTTCTTGATTTGTGCCTTCAGCTGGCCTTTTCTGCTTCTGAGATGAGACCTTGAAGGAGTTTCACAGGATCTTTCCCCTCTTTCCTTCCCTTTCAGACAACTATTCCGAGGAAGAGTACGAGAGCTTCTCTTCTGAGCAGGAGGCCAGTGATGATGCCGTGCAGGGCCAGGTACTGTTCAGGGCATGGCTTCTCCCTGAGAGGGCTCAGTGGAGCATGTGCACTCCCAGCTCCTGCTTGAAACTAAAAGCCTATTTCTGGATCTAAACCACGCCAGTGTGAGACTGTTACCAAGTGTTCAGCTGCACTGGAGAGGGCCTGCACAGTAACCCATTTCTTCTACCATGCTGTGATTTATCTGTTCACGTGTTTGGACTTGAGCTCCCTGGAAAAACATTGGCATCCTTGTGCTTCTCTGCTTAATGGTCAGGGAGTCATTTAATTGCTTCTATAGTGCTCATTGGATTCAAAGAGCCAACGTGGATCCCCAGCTGTAATTAAAGGGCCAGTGGGGTCTGAGGCAGCCTTTAGTCTTTAATACCTTTTTCACAATAGGTCCTTATGGAGAATCCCTGACTAGATGTGAGATGCTTTTGAGTTTGGGTCTTACTTGCCTTCAGACTCTGGCATCACCTATCAGAGGGGACTGAGAGAGGGACCCACCAAGATGTGGGGCTGTGACTGTCCTTGTTCCTTGAATGTAGAGCTAGGGCTGTTTCGCTTCTCCAAGCTGTTATTCCTGTCCCTGCAGACCTGTCTCACTTCCTTTTCCCTCTACCATCATAACTGCAATTAAGGCAAATGCTGGATGCCTGGAAGACGCAGCAGCAGGTTCATCTGCATAGAAAGAACACTTTGACATGCTCATGTGTGTCAGAATGACGAAGGTAACAGAGGACTCCTCTTTCTGTTCAGGATTTGGATGATGATGAGTACGAGATGGGGAAGCCCAAGAAGCAGCGGAGATCGATAGTAAGAACGACGTCCATAACCAGGGTCGGTGGAAATCAGTTTTACTAACACTGATGGCCTTTGGCCAGGATGTGCAGTGCATGTGGCTTGTGGGACACCAGGCATGCTGGCCCAGCATGGAGCTTGGGGGCATGGTCACAGCATGTGAAGAGTTAGAAAAAGCAGCCAGTTCAGGCAGTGGGACCATCCAAGGTGTGTGCATGTGTTGAGTGTCCCTTGGCGGCAAGGTTAAGGAGCTCCAAAAATCGTGCAAGTGTATGAAATTCCATCCCCATGAAGGAGGCAGTGCAGGATCCATGCTCATGTAAGTCCTGAAAGTGGCTCTAAGTGAAGGAATGCTCTGCATGGGAGAGGCCAGTGGGAAGGTCTCAGAATGGAGTGGCTTAGTCAGGGGTTGGAGCTTGATGGATAAACTTCAGGTGGTGCATGTGGTGCTGAGACAAGAGAAGTAGCTGGATATGGTATATATAGAAGCTTTAGAAAGATGCATGTGGCTGTCCACCCTCCCCCAGAAGCATGGGTGTGCCTGCAAAGCTGCACTTGTGTGCAGCAGGGACTTGAGCTTCACCACACCATGGTCTGAGGCTGTTTCTGAAATCCACATTTTGATGAGGTCTGAAATAAACCCTGTTTTGACCTGAATCTGTCACTATAAAGACCCTTCCTGTGAGACCAGGAGTGTGCTAGTTCATACCCTTGGTGTCTGTATTGCTTTGAACAGTGACCAGTCAGGACAAAATCCACCACCTGGTGTTGAGCAAGGAACCCATAAGAGGAAAGCCCTTCCAGCCCTGACCTCTGAACTGATGCTGGAGGTCCAGCTGGTGCAAAACTGGGTTTGGTGATGCCAGTTAAGTTACCATCAGCCCAGCTCCAAACCAGATCTGCTCTCTGTGAAACCGTTCAGGCCAGCAAACAGTTCTGGCCACGTCCCCCTGGCTGCTGCATGCTGAGTGTCCCCTCTGTGGGCTGCTGAACTGCCCCCAGGTGTTGTCATGGGTGGGTTTGCTTGAGCCAGAGCAGAACTGTCACTCTTGTGAGAGCATCTCAGCCTCAGGGATGCACTGGGGGTGGAAACAGGGCTGTCTTGGGACAGTGTGCTGGATTTATTTCACCTAAGCTGCAGGGTAGGAGCTCAGAGATAAAGGGTGCAGTCTGTGTGAAGTGTCTGAGGCCAGAGTTGGGAGCAGGCAGTTGGACTGGCAGGACCTCAGGAGAGTCAGCAAATGATCAACTTTCTTCACCTCAGAATGTCCAAGTTCCAGCCATTTCCTTCTCCCTTTCCTCCTGACCCAAGGATGCCACCCCAGGTGCTCTGTACCAGCACTGAGAGCTGGGCCCTTCTTGAGGATGTGCCCATCAGGTTTGTCAGTGACAGGCAGAGAAGGGCTGGGCAAACCTCAGCTCTTTGAACCTGCAGAAGGGGAACACTTGTGGGTGAGCAAGCACAAAGGGAGGGCAGCAGTGTGCCTTGTGTTGTTCTGGCCTTGGTTCCTGCTGTGCCCAGGATCTGGGAGTGCGACTCAAGGAACATTTGTGTGATGGGGCAAGTGCTGAGGATAAGTGCCACAGCTTTTCACCAGTGCTGCTAGTGAAATAAATGAACCTGCCATGCAAACGCCTGCAAAAAAAACCCCTCATGCTTTGGTGGTAAAAATCCCATTTGTTCTTGGGGTCAGTGGGTAGTTGTCTATGTTGGCTCACCCTTGTTAAGAATCAGAGAAGTTGACTTTAAGGTGTTTTTCAGGAATTTATCAAAAAGGCACAGGGAGGAGATCTGGCAGATAAAAATTTTTATCTATTGTGTGTCCAGCCAAAAGTGGAGTGCCATCTTTCAGATTTACAATGCTTCTTGGAGTGGGACTTACCATTGGTGGTAAGGAAGTTATCATGGGTGTGGAGAAGCTGATTTCAGTGTAAGGACAGCAGGGAGGTGGTGCCAGATGTTGTTTGATTTTAAACAGCAGGGTAGCACCAGTGTCAGATGTGTCTGGCTTCTTGCAGGCTGGGAGAAAACAGCTCACTTAATGCTTTACTTATGTAAAAGTGTCTTTAACTTGCAGCAACAAAACTTCAAACAGAAGGTTGTGGCATTGCTGAAGAGGTTTAAAGTGTCTGATGAGGTGAGTAATTCCTTCTGTAAACCTCCCTGCCTTGTGTGCTGCCCTCTGCTTGGTGCATCTTGCTTTAGTCTTCAGGAACACTCCCGTTTCCTTCTGTTCCCTTCATTTTGTTTTCAAGTCCACAGTGGATGTGACCTTTCCTTACACCCTAGCCTTGCAGGGAGGCTTGAGGGCCAATTTCTAAATGTCAACAAGCATTTTGTAGATGCAGTTTTATCAAAAGCAGATTTTGGCAGCTGTGTGCGTACCCATTAGTTTTGCAGATTGCTTTGAAATTATCTCTGACCCGTTCGAAGGCAAGCAGTCCAAATGGTGTGTATTGCTTGTGAGGTTAAAGCCCAGCCTGTTTGATCATCTTACTAGAACAGCCAGGCAAGACATGAAAAACTTGGATGGGGAGCTCAATCCACAAGAGTCAGCTGCTTGGTCAGAGCAGGAGAGGATGAAACAGGTCCAACCCCCCAGAAACCTGTGTAGCAATAAGCATCCAACACAAAACCAGTCAACATCTCCTTTGGCTGTGGGGCTGATTCTGTGGCTTGTGGGAAAGAGTGAGGAACTCCTGGTGCTGCCTTGCTCTTCCAAGCAGCTTTGCTGGTCTTGCCAACCCAGCTCGGCAGAGTCAGCACCCACAGCTTGGAGCCCAGGCAGCTGCTGCTGCTTTTTCTGCAGCTGCCACTCCAAAAGCAAGCTCTGGTCAGGGCACAGCCCCTGCTTGCTGCGGGCGGTGTGTAAAGCGAGTTCGGTGGGAGGTGTTTGTTCTCCTGCCTCGCCACTGGCAGCCGATCCTCCTCCAGGTTTCAGGCGCCTCCTGTGGACATTTCTGGGTATCAAATCAGGAGGTGTCAGGGCAGCTTTCTCAGTGAAAACCAGTACCTGCTACACTGTTGGGAATAGTGGAGTTTTGTGCTGATTCTAGGAGGACTGAGATTCCTTTGGAGCTTTAAAGCTTTGTTTATTGGACATAACCAATGGCATGCTCATGGATGCCTGGTCCAACATGTAACTCCTACTTAACCAGGCATTGACAAGCTTAATCCAAGACAAGCATTTCTCATGTACTTAATGTTCCTGGGATATAGTATCCTGGCACCAGGAATAGCATCTTACTGCCAGGACTGGTGTCCTGCAGGGCTGGTGTGGGATCAGTCTGGCTCCTAGCAGAGCTGGTGATGCCTCTTTTTGTCCTGTGTAGGTTCTGGATTCAGAGCAGGACCCAGCAGAGCATGTTCCAGAGGTGGAGGAGGATTTGGACCTTCTGTATGACACGCTGGATATAGAGAACCCCAGTGACAGCGGGCCAGAAATGGAGGATGATGACAGTGTCCTGAGCACTCCAAAGCCAAAGTTAAAGTAAGTGTGAGGCAGCTTCTGCTGGGCCAGAGAGATGGCTGCAAACCCATCCAGTCTGTTGGGTAGTTTGTAGCTTTGTCAGCCATGGTTTTATTCCCACTCTTGGTTTTATTCCCACTCTTCTGTGGTTTCTTTCCCCCTCCTGACATGGTGGTGTTAGAATGAGAGTGACAGCTTGTGATCTAGAGGTGTGGGAGGGTCTGACTTCCCTTCAGTCCCAGCTCTTCCTTGTTCCCTTTGCAGGTGTTCTGCTGCCCTGCCACCTGAGCACAGGGAAGGTAGATCCAGGAAGGAAATGTGTGCTAAGGCAGGAGTAGAGGCAGGGATGAAGAACCAGGAAGGAAATGTGTGCTAAGGCAGCAGTAGAGGCAGGGATGAAGGACCAGGAAGGAAATGTGTGCTAAGGCAGGAGTAGAGGCAGGGATGAACAAGGCACACTGTCTTTCTGGAAAGACCTTTCCTGTAATAACACCCTGTGTGGAAAGAGAGTCTTTGCAGGGATTAAGGAAGCAGAGCTGCAGGAAACAAGTGGATTCCTCAGGGCCCAAAGGCATTGACTGCAGCACACGTGGATGTGCTCCAGGCTGCTCTTAAAGAGCTCCTGTGGGTCAGTCCCAGCACTGTGGGGCTGAGCTGAGGGTTGCTGGCTCAGGGTCTCAAGCAGATGCAGAGCTCTGAGCTAACACAGCTGTGCCACACTCTGCTCAATAAAGGCTGAAAACATGAGACTGAGCTGACTCCTGCCTCTGGCTGGGGTGTGGTTGCAGGCTCAGGCCCTCAGTGTGTGATGGCTCTGAAACACAGACTTATGGCACTGACCACTGCAGCTGGTCAGCACAGCATCTGCTAAATCTGCTAATTACCAGGTGTCATTATGGCCTCATTAATGTTGAATAACCTCGTTGGGCTGAGAACAGATTCTGGGTCTGGAGAGAGCTGTTCCCTGTCAGTGAGCCAGGAGATGCCAAGGATAGACTGGGGCAGCAGTGGAAATGGTGGGGCTGCTGGCATGTGCAGGTGTTTGGTGCTTAACCCAAGATTCCAGCCAGCTGGTTGGCCCTACCATGAAGGGATTTGAAAATAGATGTGTTGTGGTAAGCAGCTGCTTTGCAACAAACCAAAATGTTCCACTCTGCACACTGAGAGTTCATATCCTGTTCCCTGGAGCTGAGGAGCAAACTGTGCTGGGCTATGTGATTGCTGGAGTAAGAACTTGCTGTGTGTGGTCCTGGGGAGACACTCTGTAGTTTCCTAGGTCCAGTTCTGGTGTTCATATCTTGAAGAGGATGTGATAAATGTTGATGCCTTTGAGGCAGCTTTTTCCCACAACAACAAAAAATCAGTTCCTTACGTTGTAATTGAGTCTTGTAGCCTGATGTGATGAGCTGCCTTTGGAGTGGAAGCACAATCTGATTGTGTGTGGTACCTTATCTTACTGAGCAAATGTGTAATTGGAGCCTAGGGCTGGCAGCCAAATCCAGATGCAAGCTGGAAACAAAATGTATATTAGCCCAAGAATCACTTACCCAGGAGCTGAGTGTTGGGGTGTGGGGGAAGCAGTAATTCTGCTTGCTGTATGTCAGTCAGAAGCTAAATTCAGGAATGCCTGGACTTTCTGGCTTCTCTTACTGTCCTGGACACCCTCCTGACCTTCAAAAGTAGCCTGTTTTACTGGAACCATTGGGGAGCAGTAAGATCTTCTGGGAACTGTTGTGCTGCTTTGCTGTGAGTGTGGTGGACTTGCCCTGTCAGTTTTTGGTAATAAGAAATGGGTTTTGCTTTTCTTATTCAGACCTTACTTTGAAGGACTGTCACACTCCAGCTCTCAGACAGAAATTGGGAGCATCCACAGCATCAGGAGCCAGAGAGAGCCACCAAGTCCTGTAAGTCACATTTCAAGTGTTGCCTCTCTGCACTCTCTCTAATTGCATGTGTAAATTGAAATACCCTCTCTGACACCCCCAACTTCCTAAAGATTTGGATGCAGAGATACAAATTTTCTGCTAAGAAGACTCATTTGGACTTCTTGGGGACTGGAGATTTTTTGGCCAGTTTGGGGGTTTTTTTGTTGTTGTTAGTTTGTTTTTTGGATTTTTTTGTTGTTTGTTTTGTTTTGTTTTGATGCAAATATCGTATTAACTCGAGGGTGCATCTTCAGGTTATGGTGTAAATATGTAAATATGTAAATATGTACTTGCTGATGGTGTAAATAGCTTCAGATTCCATGTGCCTGAAATGACTGCCAGGATGGAAGATGTTGCCTGGGAGTTTTAAGAACTTCCTAGCACTTTGTGGAGGAAGCTTTTCTTTGCTCATGTTGGGGTATTTTTCCTGTCACTGGCTGACAGTGAATGGTCAGGGGCAGCTCAGCTGCTTTTCCATTCCCTCCTGAATGGGCATAAGGTGTCAGTCCCATCCTAGAGCATTTCATTGCCTCTCCTGCGTGTTGTGCATCAGCTTTGCCACATCCCACGGTGATGTGTGAGCAGGGAGCACTGCTGGCCGTGCTGCAGAGCTGTGTGATGTTTAAATGGAGAAGCCTCTCTTCTGAACAGCCTGACCCAGAGAGCATGGCTGGAAACTGTGCTGGTGCTAAACCTCCTGAGGATTTTTCTTCTCTCAAGCAGGTAGAAGTGCCTGAAAAGACAAAGAGTCTTGGAACCAAACATGCAGGCGACAGTGTTTCTGACACTGTCCCTTATGTAAGTTGAAAATGCACTTTTTGGCCTTCCTCCTGTCAGTTTGGTGTCAGCTGTGGGCTGCATTCTGTGGGGTGCATCTGTCTGTCTGTATAGCTGCACATGCAACACAACTTCCATGGGTAAAATCAGCTGCAGTGAAGATGGCACTGAGTTCTCCTCCTGGCCTTAGTTTGGAGCTTCTTGTCTTTCAGCCTTTTGCAGGTGAAATGCTCTATTTGACCTTTTGTTCAAACAGCTAGCCCAAAGTTTGCCACTGAGCACATAAAGGATGCTCAAGGCTGTTCCATTTGATCAGACAGAAGTATTACTTTAAGCTGATTGGGCAGAAATCAAGCTGGTCCTGGGGTAGAAATCCCAAAGCTCAAGTTGCTGTGCTGGGAACGTGGGGTGTGTAACATTTCTCTTGTGTCTTTCTTAGCTAGTTCATTTGGGTAAGATGAATTCATCTCTATGAGGAGGCATGTCCCTGGCTTTGAGCTGTGAGAGTGCCTGTTCCAAACAGCAGATCTGACCACTTTTCCTACCTCCAGCTCCCTTGTGAGGCAGAGCTGGGAACAGGTAGCCCCAGACAGCCACTCCTGGTTCCCCCCTTTGGCAGTGAGCAGGATGTCTGGAAGAGGCAGGCTCAATGTGCCCCAGCCAGAGCTAAGCTCCCAAGGTGAGACAGAGGGTTTGTTCTTGCTAACTCTGTTCCCTGTGTTTGGGCAGGAGTCTAACCAGCAAGCTGAGGTCCAGGAGGCTGAGCTGCCCACTCCAGATGTGTTTGTGGAGAAGCTCCCACCCAGTGGGAAGATCACAAAGACAGAGTCCCTCATCATCCCATCCACCAGGTACAGGGCACAGGGCTGTGCCTGCTGCAGGCTGCTCAGGGAGCCATGGACAGTGTGCTAGGACTTGGTCAGGGTGGCCTCAAGGCAGTAAGCTGCAAGGACACCCTCCCTGTGTTTGGGCACTTGAGCAATGGGTCTGGAGCACTTGGTAAATGATTGCCCAGAGGTATTTTGTGCTGCTGTGGGTGTGTGACTGCAGTTTGCCTGGCTGGATCTTATGATGCTGGTGTAGCAGTAGCAGAGAGAAGGGGTGTGGGTGTTAGCACGGGCTGTGGAAGTCATCCTGGCACTCCTGGGAATGCGCTGAGCTGTGAGCTGTGCTGTCAGAAACAGAACCAGCCGGGCTCAAGCTAGCTCAGATCTCCGTGCAGAATTCCCTCCCCAGTGCTTGTGCTGGCATCACTGGGGCTGCCAGACGGGCGGCGGGGCTCTGGGGGCTGTGTCTCGCTCAGAAGCGTGCCTGCCCTGGCAGCGTGAGTCTCCCAGCAGGTCTGAGGGGAAGCAGACGGGCCGGCGGGGCAGGAGCACGTCGCTGAAGGAGAGGCAGCCGGTGCGGCCGCAGAACGAGAGAGCCAACAGCCTGGACAACGAGCGCTCCCCGGACACCCGGCACCACCTGCAGGTCAGCTGGCTCTGCTGCCCTCCAGCCACTCCCTGCTCCTCCTCCCTCTCCTTGTCCTTCTGGTTCGGGCTCTGTCCCTGCTGGGGAGGGACTGGGCCCCGCAGCTTCAGGAAGGAGGGAATTTGTCTTGGCTAAAATGTTCTCTTCCATCCAGTCCGCTGGGGTTTGCCAGCTTGGAGCTTTGTCAGCCAGCCATAAACTCAAAGCGCTGGAGCAGATTGTTAGAATGAGAAATGAATAGGGGTGTGTTGAGGAATTACTCCTTTGAAATAAGGCAGATTGCTAGGGACTGTCTTGTGCACAGCATATGTGCTGTGCTTTTGTTAGCCGTGGGACTCACTTATTTCCCTCCTTGAAGGAGATTGTTCCTGGCTTTTATGAAGCTTAAATTCCTGGGCTGCTGTTAGTTGGTATAAAGTGATGTAAGTAAAAGTGCATGGCAGAAGGAGTAGTGGCCAACAAATCCATGGTGGCTAACACTGGGGAAGCTGCAGCGTGTCCAGTGTGCCTTTGCTGAGGGGTGACTGGCCAGCATGCACATCAATTGCAAGAGCTGGAGCTGCTGCCTTGATGGCTAAAGCTGACACCTCTTACTGTTCCTTCTCTGTGTCTTTATTTCCAGATCCCCAGGAAAACAGTGTATGATCAGCTGAATCACATCCTGGTTTCTGATGACCAGCTGCCAGAAAACATTATCCTTGTCAATACGTCTGACTGGCAAGGCCAGGTAAGGGCAGGAGGCATCACCTGGAGCACAGTTCTCCTGCACTGTTCTTCCTCAGGAATGGACAGGCCTTGAGTTCTGCACTGACCAAGCAGGGTCTGCTGCCTGCAGAGTGCTCAGTGCCCACAGGCTGGATTTCATCTGGCCAGGAGATGCTGGGATCTTATAAAGCTTTGCCACCTGAGCCTTTCCACAGAGGTGTTTTCTTCCCCAAATAATGCCATTCCTTGTGGTTAGCAGCGCTGGGAGTGTGGCTAAACCCTTGCACTCAAAAGCCCCCTAAACTGTGGTAGGCTGAGACAAAGGAAGGTCTGACCTTGTGGTGGTTTAGGCTGAGATTTCTGAGCACAGGTGGTGAACAGGAGAAAATATTTTGGGTCAGCTCTGTAGCCATGTACATATGCCTGTGACTGCTGACTGCAGGAATCACCCCATCCTTGCTGAGTGACGGTTGTTTTAAGGAGAACTCTGAGGAATACTTCCTTTTGCTGACAACAAATTTGGGAATTTTTACAAATTTGGAGCAAGTTTTGCTCCTTTTGGAGCCTTAATCTGAGAAAGCAATGAAATATGTATGGAAGAGGACCAATGTACACGTGCTGGGTGGTGGCCCTTGCCTGGGGAACTTGTGCCAGGCTTGTGGAGTTACATTGTCTGCTTTGGCTTTCTGGTTCTGGAAGAACTAGGGTGTCAATGTGTGAGAGAGCAAAAATACCATCTGAGCTGCTGGTTCCACTGTCTCTGTTCTTGGAAGATACAGAAATGCCTTCTAGAGATGGACAGAAGATATTGTACATCACCTTCCAGGGGTTCTGGCAGCTTGTGCCTGCAGTATCAGAGGGCATGAGGGTTATGGACTGGGGTGTATGGATTAGTCATGCAGAAATTGAAAGTGTGAGATAATTAATAACTGCCATAATTATGTCCATGTGTACCTGAGGTGTGTGGTGCCCCCATCAGCTGCATGGAGGGGAAACAGCCCCTCACAAGGAGCATGGCTGTGGTAGCACCCTTCCCTTTCTTCAGTGTTTAAGGGTGGGCAGAGCATTGCATTTCTTTAAAATGGAAATCAGAGAGCTGCAGCTGCACTGCCAGAAGCAGGCAGGTAAGCAGTGTCTGCTCTTTCCCAGGGCTGTCTGCTCAGTGAATGCTCTGCTGGTCCTGCCCTCCGTGGCTGTAAAAACTGTGCTGCATCTCTGGGACATGGTGTTGTGTCTGTCAAGAAGATGCTTCCATTTTTCTAGGAGAACTTTCCTTTGGCTGCTGTGCAGGGAGGAGGCATTTGTGAAATAGCCACATCACCTTCAGACACAGGGAGAGTGCCCAGGAGTGGGTGTGAGAATACCCAGGAGGTTGAGGGGGGCACATTTTCTTCTTGTGACAAACTGTACTGAAAAAAAGGACTAAAAATGTTCTGTTCTCTCCTCAGTACCTTTCAGATGTCTTGCAAAAGCACACCTTGCCAGTGGTCTGCACATGTTCCTCTGCTGATATTCAGGCAGCTTTCAGCACAATTGTCTCCAGGATACAGAGATAGTAAGTTCTCACCTAAAAGCCTCTCAGCTCCTGTGCCCCAGGACTCAGCGAGTTCATTTCTCAACTACTGCATGAAACCTTTCCAGTCTGCTCTCCTGAAGTCAGAATTGCATTCTGTGGCTCTTCAGCACTCACCACCTCTGCTGTTCTACCTCGTGTGGGGCATGCAAGTCCCCAGCAGCAGTGATTATCAGAGACTGTGCCTTGGGGGTGCAGAGCATGCAAAACAAATAAAGGGGTTTTAAATAGTTCTTGGTCTCCCTTCCAATTCCCAGAATAATTCCTCAGTTCCTGAAGGCACTCCCTGCTTACCTGCTGGAGAATGTGGGTACCTGAGTGTGTTCTCTGACCCAGCAGTTAGTAGGTACATCCTGACCTAGATAGTTGAGCCCAGGCCTTTAGAATATCAAAATGTGCAAAAGAAGGAGCAGGGAGACCAATTAAAGAATTACTGAAGAATGTTGTATCTTATTAATAATGTTTGAAGCTGCTGAGAATCATTGCAATATTGCCTTGTGTATTGAACAAACTCTCTTCTGCTATAATTGTTATTAACCAGTTTTTTTGGTTTGTCGTTTTTTTGCTGCTTGCTCTGAAATATGTGGTTGAAGGCACAATTACAACTATGTTTCCTCTTTTTCTGTCTAGCTGTAACTGCAATTCACAGCCTCCAAACCCAATTAAAATTGCAGTGGCAGGAGCCCAGAATTACCTCAGTGCTGTGTTGAGGCTCTTTGTAGAGCAGCTGTCTCACAAAACCCCCGACTGGCTCGGCTACATGAAATTTCTGATCATCCCTCTAGGTAAATAAGGAATGGTGTTTCCTCACAGGGAGGGGAATGGGTGAAATCTGCTGTGTTCCCTCAGGAGAAGCCTTTCTGGAGCTTTGGCTATGGGTTAAATGAGGCAAATTATTACATGATTGTGTGGTGCTGGTGTTGCTGCTCTTGAGGGAGTGAATTCCATCTCTAAGTTCCTGATCCAAAGTCTGCTTTTGTTTGAAGCAAGGGGTTAAGTACTTCCCCCCCATACAGGGAGACTCTTCTGCACAGAATTGTTCCGGTAACCCTTTTCCCTGGCTGAAATGTTAAATTCAGTGGGCACCACGTTTCCCAAAACAATAACTGTTCTGGCCTCCCTGGGCTTGACTCAGAAAATATTAAGAAGAGGGGTTGAAAATTTTTAAAAGGCTCTGAAACTGCTGAGAATTTGAATTATTCAAATTACATGCATCTCTTGACCTTTACTTTTCATGCTGGTCTGCTCAGGTTTTTCCCTCACTTTACCTCTGCCCTTTCAGCAGCTCATCAAGCCTGCCTGGGTGCAACATTCCCCAGCTTGGATTGCTTATGATGGGGAGGTAGAATGCACTGATAGCAGCACCAGGGTGCTGGTGCAGTCAGGAATGTGGTGGTGGCAAGGCCTGGGAAGCAGGGGAGTCACTGGTGCAGTGGGCAGGGACATCTGGGCACTGCTGGTGTGCTCCAGGGCTTGGCTTGTGTGGACAGAGCATTTAAGTGATGCAAGAACACTTGAAAAGCACTTTTTGCCAGGGTTTTCCAGTTTTCTGGGTTTGGGGGCAGCTGATGGAAGTTCCTATAGGAATCAGAAGCTGCTGCCCAGCACTGTAAACAGTGGAGTTAGGCTGTCCATTCAGTGGTGGCATTTGCAAAAGTTAAATAAAAAAGGCAGAGGAAAAGAAAGAACTGAATCCTTCTGTAAAAAAAGGCATTTAGTTTCCAAAGTGGTTGGCAGGAAGAGAAGAGAGAGCCCTTCAGGGAGGAAAAACAAAAAAATATTAATTTCTGCAAGGTTAAATGTGCTTTGAATGGGAATCTGTGTCTGAGACGTTGCTGCTCACTTGCTGACTGTCTCCTGGCCTCAGAAGAAGAGTTTTCTGTCCTGCAGTTTTTAATGATCTGAAAATACTCTCTTTGAAAGTGAAACACAAGATTTAACTAGTGTTTGGGTTTAGGTTGGTTTTTTAATCTTAAAACTTTGTTTTGTAATCAAAAAAGAAAAAAAATGAACCAGACACTTTGATAATGAAATGCTTTAGAACTGTGGATTCTTTTTAGATTCTACTTTAAATATAGCAACTTCTCTAACAGGATCTTTTCCACAGAAGTCTGCAGTATTTCCTGATTGGATCAAGTGCTTATTTCTGGCCAGCTCTCTGGCAGTTCATTAAAGTGATTGAGGAGCCACCTCTCATTTCTGACAATTGAAAAAGCACCCAAGACAGAATGGTGACCATGCCATAAATGTCTTAAAGGAAAAGCCTCTCTGCTGCTTGCAATACCTTTGAAATGGGGTTGGTGGTGAACTAGGGTTTCTCCATGGATGGTTTTACCTTCTGAGTCCACAGCTACACACTGCAGTGACAGAAAAGTCAGCCCTCAGTGGTTTATTAGCAATCAGAAATGCTCAGTGTCTGCAAACATTCAGTCCTGCTCCATGCCACTGGTTGCATGGCTGTAAGACTCCTCTGCTGTCTAAAACACTGTATCATAGCTGAAAAGGGGAAAATCAAATGTTGAGGGGTTATTTTGGCTGTTTGGGGTATTTTAACATTTTGTATAGCTCCCATGGGTAGGACTTCTTGGGAGCCTTGCTTTGATTACTTGTTTCCATGTGCAGAGTGTGGGAAAGCTTCTCCAGCCCAGGGTGCAGAGCTGTGCTGTGTGCCCTGCTCAAAACTCCCCTGCAGGGGAAATGTGGGGTCCCAGCCTCTCCTGACCCTGAGGCAGCTCAGAGGCACCTCCTGCTTTCACCTCTCCTTGAAGGCTGGAAATCAGCTTGGAGGCTTGGAGCCCTGAGACAGTGGGTTTATTGTTTGGGGTTTTTTTTCCACCAGAGCTTTCCTGGGCCATGGTGAGGGCAGTTCAGCAACTGGGGTCATCTTGAAGGGATTTCTCAGGTTTCCAGTTAACTCAGCTGTGTGGAAGTGTGGCTTGATGGGCAAATTTGGTGTGCAGGAAGGATGAAAAGAATGTGATTCAGAGGAGTTCTGAGGCTGCTTCATGGCTGAGTGTAAATGTTTCAGGGCTGGTGCTGAGCCTGATTGCCAGGTTGGCTGGGCAGGGTGATCCTGGCACACCTTTTCTCCTGTGTTCAGAGACTGTGGAGGTAGTGGCTAGGGGGTGTTGTCTCTTTTGGGGACACAGATGGCCTTAAAGGAAGGTGGCTTAACATAATGAACCCTCCCAGGGCAGAGGTTGTCACTTGAACACCTTCCCTGTCCTGCTCAGTGTCAGTGTGCACTCAGATCTCCATGCAGGGCTGGAAGCTGGACACACAAAGCTTCTGCAGGAGACCTTTCCATGCTCATGGAGGAGCTGGGCCACGAGGCTCAGCCAGAGTGAGCAGGGACCTGCTGCACGTGCCAGTGTTCACTGGGTCCTGTAATGCTGGGGCTCTGCTTTCTGCCTCAGATTGCAGCCCATTTATTGAGCTTTTAGCCCTTCTCCACAGATTAAACAAGCCTCCCTGGGTTGTTTTCCTGCCTGGGGGCAATTGCCTCTTCTCAGTGTTGCAGAACAGCTGTGGGGTACAAATGGAGCTTGGAGGAAGGGGTCTGGCCCCTCCTGGCTGTGGTGCAGCCTGTGGGCAGGAAGGGCTGTTTGGGAGAGCTGCTTGCAAAACTGAGAGACATGGAGAGCTGTAGAGCCTTTGTGTCTTCCAAATCATTCATTTCCTCAGCAGTTTCCTAGTCCTGATTCCTTTGGCCTTTTAAAATTTAATTTGTTAGGGGGAAGGTTCAAGTGAAAGATAGCAGTGTGTTGAAGCAGTCTGCACTGGGAAGTCTATTTGCATGCTCTTGTAGAGATAAGCTGGACTAAATGACTTGGTTATAATTGAAGAAGTTTATTTCTGAGGTGTCTAGTGTGGTTTTGATTTTGGAGTTTAATTCCTTGCAGAACAAACCCATGCTTGTGTCCAGTGCTGGAGAACACAGCTGTGATGTTTTCCTTTCTTTCTTAGGCTCCCATCCAGTGGCCAAGTATCTGGGGTCTGTAGATTATAGATACAACAACTTCTTCCAAGATCTGGCCTGGAGAGATCTGTTCAACAAACTTGAAGCACAGACCACTGGTAAGACTCTGTGTCTGTCTGGCCTGTGTGGGATGAAAAGCTCGAGTGAGTAATTTTAGCAGAGGTCAAGTAAATACAAGAGGAAGCAGACAAGTGGTTTTGTTCCTCTTTTCTCCTCACTCCACCACATTCCCATTTCAGGTGCTGACCTTTCTAAGTCTTGCCCATGGTGGTTTGCAATCAGTTATTGGCTCCCAGAGGCATTAACTAGCTGCCTGTGAGTCATGCTGTTCTTACCTAGCTCTCAGCTTTGTTCTTTGATGTGGAGGTCTTGCTCCTAAGTTCAGTACATTGCTTTCCTTCAAGAACTGTGCAGCCTAAAACCTTTGGAAAACTGGAAGCTCTGGGAAGATTAACTTCTGTTAGTTGTGTGTGAGAAAGATCCTGCCAGCAGACTTGAAAACATTCTCATTAAAGAAGAATTTTGTTCTTCACCAGTGTGGTAACAAGTGGGAGCTGCCCTAGGTCAGACCAACAAGTTCCTGTTCTGATCTGAGTTTGTTCTAGGCCAGATTAAAACCTTACTTCAGTCAAAGTACTAATTTGTTTAAAATATGAATGCTTACAGTTTCTCCCTCCTTTTCTTCAAGAGTGGAAAGGAACAGGAGAAAGGAGGATTTTCCACATTCAGGGCTACATGAAGGCTTGAGATTTGATGCTGTTGTGGCAGCATTGCCCACACAGAAATTCCATTAGAAGGAAAAAGCTCTGAAGTTTGTGTAGCACCACGAGTGTTGCAGTGTGGTTCTCCCTGTTGGAATTGCAGAGTTCCTGAGACTCCCAGGAAGTTCCTGGAAGTCCTCTAGCCATGAGAGGAGGAGGGAGACCTCTTCAGGGGTAATTGTTCAGAGCTGTTTCCAGCAGATGAGGACATGGCTGGACAAGGCCTGGGGCAGCCTGTTCTGAAGGTGAAGTCAGCCCTGTTTGGAGCAGGAGGCTGGACTAAAAATCTCCTAGTATGCTGTCCAAGCTACACTTTCCCTTAATCCCGAATTCAGGGAAGAACTGGTGTATGGAACTGGTTTCCTTTAATTACTTGGTGCACTTGAAAATGCAGAAAAATGTCAATACAGACTTGATTTTTGTGTCTGAATTAGGAATACTTCATTACCTGTAGAAACCCAGAAAGAGCCATATCTGTTCCTTAGTTGATTGTATGCTATAAGGAAAAGTCCACTTCATTTTTGTATAGTGCAGACTTTGTACATTCTGCATTTTTGTCTGTGTGGTGGCAGCTGCACAGGAACTCCATAATGGCACAAGAAGATTTGGCAGAGAACCATAACTCTTACCAGTTCACTGTTCAAATACAAAGGGTCTGGGTTAAAATGCCCATTTTAAAGTAGGAAGTGCCTGTTGAAGATCACTTGTGTTCCTGGGATCTCACAGTTGAGGCTCTTTGGTTGAAACCAAAGAAATATGGAAGGCATTCAGGAAATGTCTTTGTGTCAACTTGAATGAACCAGTCTCACAAAATCACAGGATCTTTGTGCTCTTCCTACCCTTGTGTGCCCCTCAGTCTTTTTGGCCAACTGAGCAGGGCCAGGAGTTCATCAGAAACTCAGGTAACTCAGTGCTGGTATAAGAGCAGCTCACCTGGGAGACATGGCCAGGCACTTTCTCCAGCAGACACCTGCAGCCAAGGCATGAAATATCTAAAGCTGACTCTGGGCAGGGACAAAGAAAAGCTTTTAACGAATCTAAAAGACCCCAGATTTGGTCAGAAATGCTGAGTACACATTCAGCTTTACTGTGCTCTGGGGTATGCAGAGCTTCTTGTGCTAGGTGTAGAGCTGGTGGGCACCACCAGCAGGTGGAGAACAGGGCTGGCAGTTGTCTGAGGGAGAACAGGGCTGGCAGGTCTGAGGGAGGCCAGGGCTGGCAGGTCTGAGGGAGAACAGGGCTGGCAGGTCTGAGGGAGAACAGGGCTGGCAGGTCTGAGGGAGGCCAGGGCTGGCAGGTCTGAGGGAGAACAGGGCTGGCAGTGGTCTGAGGGAGCAGAGGGCTGGCAGGTCTGAGGGAGGCCAGGGCTGGCAGGTCTGAGGGAGAACAGGGCTGGCAGGTCTGAGGGAGCAGAGGGCTGGCAGGTCTGAGGGAGAACAGGGCAGGCAGGTCTGAGGGAGAACAGGGCTGGCAGTGGTCTGAGGGAGGCCAGGGCTGGCTGGTCTGAGGGAGGCCAGGGCAGGCATGGTCTGAGGGAGAACAGGGCAGGCATGGTCTGAGGGAGGCCAGGGTTGGCATGGTCTGAGCAGTCACTGAATGCTTTTCCTGTGTTCTCTGCAGTTTCAGATGCGCCCGACGTCGTGTCCCGGATAACTCAGTACATAGCAGGGGCAAACTGTGCTCACCAGCTGCCCATTGCTGAAGCCATGCTGACCTACAAACAGAAGAGGTATGGCCCCCTCATCCTGCTGGATCCCAGCACCAGCTGCTGCTTGAGAGTAAAGTGCTTTTCTTATGTTGTGCCAGCAGTCTGAAAACCCAACAGCAAAGGCCTTGGGAGGCTGCACCCAGCAGTGTGTCCCACTCAGGGAATCTACAGCAGCAGGGTTGCTTTAAGTGCAGAGATTCTGTTTTTTCAAGATGTAAGAGGTTTGGGGAAGTGCAGGATGGGGATGGACAGGTTTTATGTGCTTAGGTTCCAGAGATGTCTTACCACAGTGACCTTAGGTGTGTCAGACTGGACCTTGGCATTCTCCCACAGAATATCTTCTGTGAGAGCTGACCTTTTTTACATTGGCATTTAGGGATCTAAGCCCCTTTCTTTTTGGAGTGTAAATAGCAGAGCTTCTTGCAGGAGAGACAAAATCCTTGTTGATTGGCAGTTGCAAGCTATCAGGACTCCTGCTGGGCAGGGCTGACATTCACCAGATTTCATTTCAGCTTCTCTTAAGGGATAAGCAGGCTGTAGGAGGGAGCATTGGAGACTTAAGATTCAGGAGTAGGTAGGGCCTCCTGAGGCCATGGTCCAGGAAGAAGAGTAAGTGTCGCTGAAGGGTAGAGAAGCACTGTTATCAAGGGACACAGGAGAATGATAGATTTGAACTCAGCTGATGTGAGTTTCCTCAGTTAGGGACTAGCAACTCCCTATGAGACGTGGATGTTGTTAATTTTTAATTGCTTCTGTTTGATTTTTCATTTTTGGTCCATTAACATCCCTTATTAGTGTCTCCTTTGCCTAAGAATTGGGAGACATTGAAAGTGTGCTTAGCATCACTTTCCCCCCTTCTTTTGGGAAATTCTCATAGTATATTGCTTTTGCATTCCTGTGGAATTCCTGTCTGCTCTCACATTACTGTGCACAAATGATTCAGTGAAATTTCACCCATTCTACATGTTTTTCCTGTATTTCCAGACTGACTAGTCAAGTAAAAGACACTAGTCTAGTCTCTTCATGTATTTGTGGGCTTCTGTTAAAGTTAACATGATAATAAGGAGGAAATTTAAAGAGCTACAGAGCACTTGAAGCTCTTGCCTTCAGTTCTGCATCTAGTTTTTGGTATGAAGACTTACTTTGGTTACCAGCAGGGAGCTCAGACACCCCAGTGCAGTGGGAATCCCTTCTGAGGCTGCTTGGTTCTTCCTCTGCACCCTTCAGGTGCTGGGTTCTGCACTGCTTTCCACTGCCCCCTCCATCCTGTTACAGCTTCATTTGTGCCATTAAAACACATTTAAAGATTTTGAGATTCTAATGTGTCCAGAAGGTCAATTCAGCACTTTGTTGGAAAACAGCTGAAATGTATTTGAGCTGTATCCCTCCCAGCAGTGTGCAGGACTGCTTTACCAGGCTGGTCTGATCCATTTAGGTTCATAGATTTCATTTAGGAGGTTCTTGGGAAGAGAGATTGCTGAAACTCACAGTCAGATTCTGGCATAACCTGCAATCTCTCAGTATTTCTGTGTGTCTGCCTTAAAATAACTTCTGCTTTCAGGTCAGTGCCCTGTGAGTACAGGAGAGTGAGTCAGAGGCTCTCACTGGAGCATGGGCAGTGTCTCCTGTGTGCTTTCCTTTAGGAATGGGGGTCCCTGTCACTGGCAGCAATTTAGGAAGGGTATTGTTAAAAACAGCACAGAAATTGTGTCTCCATTAGCACTATCTAAACAAATGTATCACTTTGTTGTAAGTATAATAACACATTTATCTTTTTCTTTGGTTGCTTGCTGAAAAGGAAAAAGAGCTTTCATTTTGATTTTACCATAAGGTATCAGTTCCTTTTAGGTTCCCTCTCCCAGCTCCTCTCTCTTTTCCCAGTGAACTGGTGATTTGTGCCTTGTTTAACAGCTCCTGCAGGTCTGGGATGCACAGTTTGTGCTTTGGGTTGAATTCTGCTCACTGCTTTGAAACCATGGCATCTGCTGGCAGAATGCAGCATTGGAAGCGACTGCTGTGCCTTTGGACCACACATTTGGGCTCCCAGGATGTAGACTGAGTGGGAATGAAGGAGTTGGTCAGAGAGTAGCTTAGAGCAGTACAACATGGAGAATGTGGAGGTTTTTCCTTGCCTTTTCCCTTAGCCATCAGAAGACAGCATAGCTCCAGAAGGATCAGGATTGAGAAAAGGCTTTTCAGTTCCCATCTGTTGGAGCTGGAGCGCTGTAGGTGGCACTCAGTGGCTCAGGGTGGGGATCAGCTGTGCAGTGTCCGAGTGCACACCAGCAAATCTCCTCCCTGTAATCAAAAATTTGAGGACTAGTCTCTTACTGGCAGAGCACCCCAAACATATGGGACTTCTCTGAGCTTAAGAAAGAGAAGACAGATGTGTGCTGGCAGTGGAGCTGTGCTCTCTGAGCTGCCTCCAAACCCCCCATGCTCTGCAGGGTCCCCTGCTTTGAATAATATGATTATTGGGCATTTTTTAGTTTGTACTCAGCACACAAAGTTACTGCAACTCCCTCCCCCTTGAGGCCAGAGGTGAATGGCTTCTCCAAGGCCAGCTTTCAAGGCAGTGGTCCAGGTAGAAACAAGCAGCACTACCTACAAATTCATTGCAAAAGAATTCTCCCAGAATCCTGGCATTTGCTCTGTTAAACAAGTCCTAGTGGTGCAAGGAAAGCCCAGCCAGTCTCTAGGATGTAGCTGTATGTGATGAGCTGCTTCACAACTCTCTTGCCAGCTGTCCCTGTTCTGACCCCGCTCTCTCCCCGTGCCCTTGTTCTGTTTGTCATGGCAAAGGTTGGCGCATGAACTGCCTGTGATGGACTGCAATGGTGCCAAAGCTTTGTCCTGGTCTTCTGCAGCACCTGCTGACCTTACCTGAAAGCACAGGGGCTGGCTGGGAGGAGGGGGGCTCACAAAGGAAATGAAGTGCCATTGCAGCTCCTCTGAGTTACACTGGGTGACTGACTGTGTCTGTGAGCCCTGGGAGAAGCCCTGGTTGCTGAATTCTGAAGGAGCAGTGCAATCCAGGCAGCACCTGGGGAGCTGAGACCCTGGGGATGGGGTGGGCCTCTCACCACGAGGGGCACGTCACTGATGTGTCTCTGCATTGCTTTCTTGAAAGAAACCCTGTGGTGTCTGAGGCCTGAGAGTCAGCTCTCACAATTCCCAGTGCAGCTGGATTGCTGGGCTGGTGTCACCCACTGTAATTCAGTGCCCAGCACAGCTCATGCCCTGTGGCTTCTGGATAGCCCTTGCATGAATCTGGGGAGCAGCCTGGCTGTTGGAAATGGAAGCATTGCTCACTTGTCAGGGCAAGGGCTGGATCACTGCCTGCCTGGTTATGTGTTTACCAAAAGCTTTTGGGAGCACTTCCCAGCTCTTGCTCCCAGTTCCCTTGGATTGGAGGGCTCCTGGGCAGTAGGGAGCACAGATTACACTGATCCTGCCTGCTGTGTGTCTCAGAGGCCCTGCAGGGCAGTGGCTGAGCAGTCCAGGTCATTGCTCTGAGTGCTTCTCCTCAAACACACTCTGCAGCAGCTTCTGGACCTGAATCTGGCTGGCCAAGAGGGGCCTGGTTCCTCCTCTGGCTCAGCAGAGCTCATCTTACCTGCTGGTTACTGCAGGAAACTCCTTGGGCAGCTGCTGGAAATGCAACAGGAGTGCAGCAGAGGAGAGTCAAGGCTCAAGAAATGATGGATGTCCTGTTGGTTATGTCCAGCCCACCACAGGAAAGTGAAGATGCTGGAAAGGAGATTTTTTGGAAGGCTGAGAGGAGACTCCTGTGATGTGTGATGAGGACCTGGTGTTGCTTTGTCCCTTGTTTGGTTTGGCCCTGGTGGAAGCAGGACAGTGTTAGCCAGCGGACAGCTGGAGTTGCCCAGGGGGCAGGACAGATTTCATGTCATAGGGGAGTGAAGAGCTGCTGGTGGTGCCTGGCCTGAAATGGCCCAGAGGCCTGACAGTCCTTCAGTGACAGAAGTCCTCTCTTTTCTGTTGCCTCCTTCAGGACTTGACTGGAATAAAAGTGGTGCCTGAGACCCTCCTGGTCACATCACTTACTGCTAAAAATCACAAACTTGGGCCACGTCTGGCATGAAATTACAGCTATGGTACCAGGGCCTTCAGAAGCCTTGTGGGTAAAAAAAAAAAAAAAAAAAAGCCTTGGACATGTGGAGTTAACCCTCTGCAGCCTGGGACTCTGTGCAGCTGAGGTAATGAGGGGAAGCTGCCTTTCCAGAGCTGGGAGATATTTCAGTTGCAGGGTTGTGATAGGAGGAAGAATTGAAGTAGCTGTTACCGAGGTGAAAGGATTCTGAATTCATGTTTTGGGATCTTGAGATCCTGAAGAACAAAAATTGGGAAGAGTATGAAGGAAGAAATTAAGAGCAAGCATGGTCATCTCATCTTTTCTCTCATCCACAAGAAGAACAGCTGCTTTGATAAGCTGCATTTCCAGAGACTCATGTGCAAGAGAAGAGTTCCCAGGAGGATGTGTGACAGGACTAGGCTGGCTGAGCTGAAATCCAGCTGGATTGCTTCAGGAGCAGCCTGTGCATCACTGTGGGCCCTGATAAATGGTGGCTGAAGCAAATGATTATTTCAGAGTTGGCCCTGAGCTCTCTGCAGTGGGAATCAGAGCTCTCAGGGGAACAAGAACGAGTTTTCTGCTGGAACTGGACATGGCTGGTTTGTTCAGAGCTCAGAGCAAAGCCATCCAGTGGCTGAGAGATGACTGGGTGGCTGTGGTGCTTCCCTCTTGGTGAGTGGGGCTCACTTTCTGCCAGCCTCCAAACCCAGGGAGCTGAAGGAAAGAGAAGAGAGCTGAGCCTCTGTTCCGTGCCTCTCCCAACAGCTCTGTGGTTTTCTCCTTTCCCTTTGTAAACTTGGAACTGGAAACGTCCTGTGTGTAGGAGATGTGTTTGCTGGGCCCTGCAGAGGTGTTTGCAAAGATGGGACCTTCCTGCCTTCCAGCACGGAATCAGGGACTCGGTCACTTTGTCCTGTGCTTGAGGAGAGCAGCGAGGGTGCAGTGCCTGAGGGTGTGAGGTGTGAAGGGAGCAATGGCCCTGGCTTTTTCTTAAAGATGGATCAGCAGAGCTGAGCCAAAGCAAGAGGCTATTTGCAAAGTCGTGCTCTGCTTTAGACCAGAGGGAATTCTGGCTGAGTCATGTTCACTGCAGTTTTATGGCATCCTTTCCTTGGGGCTTAGAGGAAAGTGTCCAACCTGTGCTGATCACACAGGTTAACAACCTTTGTGCATTTGGTGCATTTCTCATCTGTGCTGGAAACAGCACAGAAAGACCTGCAGTATTTATGCTACTCCCAGCTAAACTCTGGATGAAAGCAATGCTGGATGGATTTTTCTGAGCACTGGGGGATGCACAAGAAGAGAAACATGAGAAGTCTGTGTTTGTGTGCTTCCTACCTGTTTCCTGTGCTCAGTCACTGAGAAATGTGTGTCTTGCCTGTGCAGTCACTTCCCTCTGCTGAGCTGTAGCTCCTCCAAACATGTGGATGTGCTCCTGTGGCCTTCTGCTCACCCTGTGGGTCCATCTCTGACCTCTGTTGCCACTGAAGGGAGCAATGGCTCTGCAGGCCCTTCTTGCCTGCCTTCCTCCTCTTGTCTTTGCCCCCTAATTCCTGCTGGGTTTGACTGTGGCCTCATTGCCTTTCTCCGTCCTCAGCTTCCTGGCGGGGCCCAGAGCAGAGTGGCTCTCCAGATGTGTGTGGTGTTGTCTCCGGCTGTTTCTGGGGCTGGTGTGCCCTTGGCTGGGCTGGGCCTGGCTGTGGCTGCGTGTCCGGTGCTGGGGCTGTGCCTGTGGAAGCTGCCGACAGCAGGGCGGCCATGAGGGCGCGGCCATGAGGGCGCGGCCATGAGGGCGCGGCCATGAGGGCGCGGCCATGAGGGCGCGGCCATGAGGGCGCGGCTGTGCTGGTGCTGCGGCAGTAATGGCAGGTCCCGGCTTGTAACGCGGCAGGGCCACGACTCGGGGGCGTGGCGGCCGTGGCACACGGCTCCAAGGGGAAATGTGCCGGCCGTGGCACCCGGCTCCAAGGGGAAATGTGCCGGCCGTGGCACCCTGCTCCAAGGGGATGTGCCGGCTGTAGCACATGGCTCCATGGGAGATGTGCCCCACAGGAGATGTGCCGGCCTTGGCACACGGCTCCAAGGGAGGATGTGCCGGCCGTGGCACCCGGCTCCATGGGAGATGTGTCCCATAGGAGATGTGCCGGCCGTGGCACCCGGCTCCAAGGGAGATGTGCCGGCCGTGGCTCACGACTCCAAGGGAGATGTGCCGGCCGTGGCACACGGGTCCAAGGAGGCATGTGCCGGCTGTGGCACCCGGCTCCAAGGGAGATGTGCCGGCTGTGGCACCCGGCTCCAAGGGAGATGTGCCGGCCGTGGCACCCTGCTCCGTGGGAGATGTGCCGGCCGTGGCACCCGGTTCCAAGGAGGCATGTGCCGGCTGTGGCACCCGGCTCCAAGGGAGATGTGCCGGCTGTGGCACCCGGTTCCAAGGAGGCATGTGCCGGCTGTGGCACCCGGCTCCAAGGGGGTACACGGTGAGGCCGTGCGGGCACAGCGCCCCAGGCTCCAGTCAGTAACACCCAGCGCTGTGTGTTGTGGTGGCACAGATCCGTTTCCTCGCAGTTGGAGGCCGTGTGTCTGTGGTGACTGCCATGCCGTCCAAGCATGTTTCTCTGTGGAGCGTGAGGGAGTGAGGAAGAGCCTTTCTGCCGTAGGCTGTGCTGCCCCGTAGGCCGTGCTCCCCCTAGGCTGTGCTCCTGCCGCCCCTGCAGGCTCCCGATGCTGGCAGGGGCCTCGAGAGGAGGCTGGACTGGCGCTTGCATCCTGTCCGTCCCTGCTGCATGCTGGAATGCCACCTATGCAGTGAGTATGGCGCGGGGTGGAGGCGAGCTGCTAACAACTCTCTTCTCTTTGCCTTTAGCCCCGATGAAGAATCTTCGCAGAAGTTCATTCCCTTTGTCGGGGTGAGTGTTGTCGTGGTGATGCTGCCTCAAGCAAGCTGGGATATGTTCTCAGGTGTTAACCTAAACTTACCAGGTTTCTGGAGTGGGGCAGAAGCCATTGGGTGCTCTAAGGCAAATGATCAGCGTGAAAATCTGTCTCATGGTTGGATGCAGCTGCCTGATATTTAAGCAAACCTCTAAGACACTTCAGCAAACTACAGGGTGTATTTTACGTCTCAGACAGGAATGTGCTGTGTCCCTGGAAACCTGATCATAGGGATGCTGTGCCTAGCATTGCCCTGGTTGATGGCTTTGGCCAAATTTGCTGTTTCACTGTGATTTCTCTGCATGCTTGTTACTGATGGTCTCCCATCCTCTTAGCATCCCATCTGTTCCTGAGAAGTTAAGAGTACATCCTGGCAGGAAGGCAATTTATACCCCTGTTATTTATTTGGGATAGTCCCTCATTTTTCCCCCTGTCCTTAACTGTTCCCATCTGTGGTGCAGAGTGTCTGGACAGGGCCATGTTTGTTCTTCTGCATTTTGTGCACTGTGTGCTCTTTGCCTTTTCTAGCTCCCCTCCCCTTATTTGATCATGCTCTTCAATGCATTAAGTTTTAGGTGTAAAGTCATTGACCTGCAGCCAGAAGAAATCCCTTGGCTCCTCTTCAGCTCTGGGATCTCCTCTTCCCAGTTCCTGCTGCTGCCTTACCCGCTGGCCTTGCTGTGCCTGCTTGATGTGACCCTGACACGTCCCCTCTGTGTCCCCTCTGTGTCCCTCAGTGCATCAGAGCTCCTCTGAAATCCTTAGGCATTTAAAGAGCTTAGTCTCTGTTGCCCTCAGGCTGACCCTGCTTTCACTCTGTGTCTCCTCATAGTGAGAGTGTCTCTCTGCAGTATTCCTGAGATGACAATCTGCTTTTGTTTGTTGATGAGGAGAGGCCTTCTGCAAAGGCAGAGAGACACATCTCCCCAATTTGTGCCCTGCTGATGAGCTTTGCTGGCAACTTCTATCTCCCATGAACTGCAATTTCTACTGACGGACTGCTCTTACAAAACAGCTGTTTCACCTTTCCCACTAACATGGAAAGCCTAGAGGACTTGGAACATCCCAGACTGTTGTTGGGCTCTGCAAGCCTTTTTTTCAGGACTGATTTAGTCCTGTATTTTGTGCAAGCAAATGGGGCTCAGAGTGCTTATCCAGTTTCTCTGAAATGATTGTTGTCCTGACATTAGCAGTGCTTTTCCAGTCTGGATTTGGTTATGTGAAAGTGGTGGAATTGCTTTGGTGTGTACATAGCATTGCCAGCCCCCCAAAAAACTTGCCTTGAAAGCACAGACTGACTTCCTGTGTCACTGGTGGTGAGGGTCAAACCAGTGCTGCTTGCTCCTGATTCTGAAGCATTCCTGACCCAGTGAAAGGCCAATTGCAGGTGTCTCACAAAGTCTGAGGCTGGACATGAGCACTCAGGCTCTTCCCTTCAGCTGCAGCCTGCTCAGAGCTGTTGGACAAGGAAGTGAGGGAGCCAGTGACTTCTGGGTTTGCAGCTGATGTTGGCTGCACTTTTGACTTTTGGGGTGTCCTGCAGCTGGACTGTGCAGCCTCTGCCCCAGAAATGGGCAGGGCAGTGCCATGCTGCTCAGCTGGGCTCAGAGTGGTGGGAGTGGAGCCGTGCCAGGGGCCAGGCTCAGGCTGCCTTGGGCTGACAGGCAGTTGCCAGGAGAGTTAACAGGATGTGCCTCTTCCTGGAGGGACAGGGGGCTGGCTGTGCAGCTTTCCTGGATGGAGGCCTGCTGGACCTGCAGTGTTCTCATGCACCTCCTGAGTGGAGGGAAGGGAAAGTGTTTAACCTTGTGTTCCTGCCATGTGTCTGAACTTGAGCATCTTCAGTCAGCCAACAAGGAGGAAAAGGCCAGAAGAGATTTCCTGCCTGGCTTGCAGATCAAGGTGGCTGCAGGCAGTTTTCTGTGTGGCTGGTCCCTCCCCTAACCCTGCTCCGCTTGTTCACGGGCAGTGACAGTTTGTGGAACATCCTCTTGGTGTTTAACACATACAGCACAAATGCCTCCTCTCCCAAGCCAGTGAGCCCTCAGGGAGCCTGTGTACACACTGCTGAATTCATGGGGGCTTTTTCAAGACTGGATCTAAATGAGAATCCACCAGAGAGCCTGACAACTCTCCAGGATCTACTTTTGAGCATATGTCTCCCTGCCCTCCAAACTCTGCAAAGCATTTTGCTTCTAAGAATTAACTTTTTTTTTTTCCTTTTTGTTTTTGGACCCTGTATTAAAGAAATGTGCTCCCGAGAGATGTGGTCCAGACATGGTCATGTCTGAAATTACTGAACTTCTGTTTTCAAACCACACAGCCTGTGTGACATCAGTGCTCATTCTAAAGCAGTTTTTATTGACCTGAGCTCCCTTGGCAGCTCTCTCCCATTTGTCAGCATTTGTGTAGGGTAGACATTAGCCCTGGAGACAAGTTTCTTAAGGACCTTAAAAAGGCTCTCTTCTCTGCAGTGTTAAGAGTGATGATCCCTGTGTACCATAGCAGATTATCACTGCAGAAGGTCTCTGCTTTTATATCACCGAGGGCCACTTTATCTTTCTAGGCATAGTGTGTTCTTGGGAGTTTGTTTGCAGCATGTTCTGTTCCACAAGCTATTGCCAGTGACATTTGTCATTAATCTTGGTGTACCAGCTGGTGACTGGCCACACACGTTTGTGCCCTTATTACAGTGTGATCTGGATCCTTCTGACCTGTCCATGTGGTGGTTTGTCCCTGTCTGCCTCCAGAGGCTTTGCTAGGGGCTTAATCTTCTTTGTTGGACACTTCCCTTGTTTAGAGAATGGATAACTCTGATCAGAAGCTGTTCTTTGCTGCTTCTGTGGTTTCCTCACAAACCCCAGCTATGCTGCAAGTGGAAGTGGCTGCTCCTGAGCAGTGGAAGCAGCGTGTCTGTAATCAGCAGGTGCATCAGAGCAGTGCTGAAGGGATATTTCTGACCCTTCTCCTCCCTGTAGCTGGCATAGCTTGGAGCTGATGGCTGCAGAGCTGGGCAGGTGTGTGACAGCCCTGCAGGGTCTGTGCTGTCCCTTGTGTGGGTCAGGGCAGGGCTGTGAGCTGGCACTGCTTGGCTGGACATTGCCAGGACCTGCCTGGCTCTCAGAGGACTCCTGAACTACTCTGACTGCAGGGACAGTGCCTTGGGGAGTGCAGAGATGAGCTCAGGGCTGGGGTTTGGGTTCCTCAAGTTCAGGGGGCTCTTGTTTGATGGAGCTCTTCTGTTTTGCCCCCTTTTAGGTGGTGAAGGTTGGAATAGTGGAACAATCTTCTGCAACATCAGGTAAGGACCATCCTGTGAGTGCTCTCTGTGTGCTGCAGCATGGGAGCCTGACCTCACAGGCTGGGCAGACTCCTCCATCGCTGATGCCTTGGAGCTGGGAGGTGGAGTTGGATTTTATTAGCTCCCAGTGGTTTGTCTGCAGAAAGAGAGCCCTCTCCCTTGGGAGAGGCCCTTTTTTCTTTGTTGCTTTACATGGAGCTTCAAGCCAGCTGAAATTCCCACACCTGGATTCAGGGAAGCTCTACTCTCAGGCTTGTGCAAACACCATTTTTCTAATATTGTCAGTGGGGTGTCACTGTTACACTTGTTTGAGGTTCCTGCTTCGGCCTGAGGAGGCAGTTCTTAAGAAGTTCATGCCTGTCTCCCTGCAGTGGGCTCAATTCCTGAATGAAATTGATCTCAGTGCCTGGGAACTTCAGCGTGGGCAACATTTTAGGCCCATTTATTTTTTACTGGAGGAGTGCAAAGCTGATATGCAGAAGAACACTGTCTGCTTACACACACAGACATGGAGTGGTGCTGTTTTGTCAACATGAACTTATTTTTTCCCTCCAAATGCACGGGACTGTTGTTTTCCTTGTGTTGGGATTGTTTCTTGTTTTGCTTCACTGTCAAACCCAGATTCTTGTGGCCTGGGTGACACACAGGATTGTGCATGGAGGCAGCCCTTCTGTGGGTCACTCCTTGCTGCCACAGTGCTCCCCCCATCCCAAAGGGCCAGCAGGAAGGGGATGAGAGCTTGGGTGTGGAGGGTGGAGGCAGATGGAAGGGGGAGATCCCTGTGGTTGCCCAGAGGTGCTGGATTCCAGGAGTGGTGCTGCCCTGCAGTGGTTGCAGGGGGAGATTCCCTGTAGGAAGGAGATCAGTGAGCTGGGCTGTGGCAGTGCAGGAGGCTCAGAATCAGCTGGGAGCAAACCCTGGAGAGCAGATGCCAAAGGAGCAGCCCCAGGAGTGTCAGTGTCTGTGCAGGAGGCTCAGAATCAGCTGGGAGCAAATCCTGGAGAGCAGATGCCAAAGGAGCAGCCCCAGGAGTGTCAGTGTCTGTGCAGGAGGCTCAGAATCAGCTGGGAGCAAACCCTGGAGAGCAGATGCCAAAGGAGCAGCCCCAGGAGTGTCAGTGTCTGTGCCTGCCTTGGACCCAGACACACAGAGCCCCTCAGAAGTGTGGAGCCAGTCAGAACTGATGGGCCAGCTGACCTCTGGGTTGAATCTGAGCAAAACCTGTGCAGCAGGAGCGTGGACAAGGAGATTGAGCTTTATGCCAGTGTTGTGTGCTGTGAGACAAACCCAGACAAACAGCTTGGCTTCCTTTTTTTAAGGTGACTCTGATGACGCAGCTCCCTCAAGTTCCGTTGTCCTCTCTTCCACCCCGCCTTCCGTGTCTCCTGCTGTGAAAGAAGCCTCCCCCACGCCCCCTTCCTCACCATCTGTTACAGGCAGCTTCTCCTCCCCAAGGTAAACCATGTTTTGTCTCCTTACAGCTCCATTGGTTGGCTTATCTGGCATACATGTGGCTGAGAAGTCCAGAGGAAAACCAATAGTTCTTCCTTCATCCCTAGCAAAGGAAGTTGTCACCTTTCTCCTTCACATCTTTTGCCTCTGGAGTGACTGTGTCCTTGCTGAGGCTGCCAAGGGGCTGGGGAGGGCAGGGGGGATTTTACACTTAGGGGGAAGGCTGCATGTCTCAAGGGCAGGATTCTCTTGGGAAGATATGTATTCAAAAAAATTACTGACTCTTACTACATGTGGGTGCCAGGCTAATCCCTCATGATTGTTGTGTTTGTAAAGGCCAAGTGAGTGGAAGGTCAGAGTGACTTTTGAAGGAGCTGATGACTTTCTCTATGAGGGTAATGCTGGCAGTTGTAAGGTGGAACTGCAGCTCCTATTCACGTGTGTGCCTGAAAGCACATCTGAACAGCAAGGGGATTGCACCTACAGGTAATACTGAGCCCTGGTTTAGCTGAAAATTTTAGGGGTGAAGGGAGAAAACCCCTAGAAAGCTGCCAGTAAGACTTGGCCTGGCCAGGACTCTTCATTTTGTTGCTGCACAAAACATTGGTGTAGCTGTCTGACACTCTGTGTGCAGCTCTGATACTCAGAGGCACTTCATGAAGTTCCCCTTGATTTTGTTAACTCCCCTGAGCCTCTGAGGGAACATAGCAGCAGTCTTGTGAGAAGGGGAAACTAGAAACATTTGAACTCTGCAGTTGAGGAGAGGAGAGCAAAATGATAAATCACTCAAGGTGTGCAAAGTCGGGGGGGTTTGGGTTTGTAGAGGCTGGCAGAGCACTGGGACAGGTGCCCAGGGAGGTTGTGGAGTCTCTCTCTCTCTCTCTGGGGACATCCCAAAGCCACCTGGATGCATCCCTGCATCACCTGCTCCAGGTGGCCCTGCCTTGGCAGGGGGGTTGGACTGGGTCACCTCTAGGGGTCTCTTCCCCAGCAGTTCTGGGGTTCTCTGAAGCTGTGGCACAAGAGCTGGGGGCACACAGTGACACTGCAAGAGCTCAGTTAAAAGGGAGAGAGGAAGGGACCACATCTGCCCCTGCTGCTTCTGTGGCAGCAGCATCAGCAGGTCAAAGAGGGGTCAGACAGATTCGCAGACAGCAGATCCATTAATGGCTACTAAAGAAAGGTTCAGGGACCTCCCCTCTAGCATCCCCAGTTGTCAGGCTGTGGAAGTGCCAGGGCATGCTCTGAGGCTGGGCTGATGTGCTCTGCCTAAGCACCATCCCCTGCTGTCCCTGCTGGGGACAGAATGGGACCTTTCATCCCACCCCAGGGTGCCCTGCAGTGACCTTTAACCTCTGACCTCTCAGAGTGGCTGAAGAGTTCCCTTTGAACAGGAGGCAATGGAGATGTGACAGTGCCAGTGTAGGTGCCCAGCCCTGGAAGGTGTTGGTGCCCATTCACCTGTGCCAGGGCCCAGTTCCCAGGCCCCTCCTGGTGTGTCCCTGTGCTTGAGTGGCAGGAGAGCCCCTGTGCCCCAGCAGAGCTGCCTGGCAGTGCAGAGGGAGAGAGCTGGGGCTGGCCAGGCTCCAGGGAGCAGAGCTGAATTCTTGTGTGTGAGCTTTGTGTGTGGGTTTTCCAAAGGTGGCAGTGCTTTGGAAACTGGTGCCCCCAAGAGCCTAAGGTATCAAAGCTTACCTTTGATAAGCCATGGATGTGATAAATCTGAACCTGATACCCCAGCTCTATGAATCTGGTACTTTCTCGTTTCATACTGTGTGGCAAAATCATCAAGAAATGAGGAATTGCAGGTTCAACATTGTTCCATCTCCCCTGATCTCTAAGTGACAGCACAGGGGGTGGAGGGTGTAAAACTGAATGATTGAGCCATGTGTTTAACTGGGAAGGGAACATAAAATCTTGCCTGGGCCTGGTGAATATTGGGATGCTTTGTCTTTATGACTGAGTTGAGAAATGTGATGCAAAGGAGATTTCAAAGCATCATCCTTAAAGAACCTCACTTCTGAATATTGCCCTGAGAACCAAAACCCTGCTTTTAGTCATCAAAGACGAACTCTGCTTTGCAGTCTGACTTTTAGCTGAATAAATGGCAAAGAAAAGGAAATGAGAGGACTGTAGGGGTGGGGTGTCCTTGTTTTACCTTGAGTTCCTTATTAGACGGGCAGTGCAGAGGGATGCATATTTCATTCAAGATCACAGATTTATCTTCCTTAACAACTGCCATTTCTCAAACTGAGGACACAGACTGGTAGATAAATTTAGGTTTTTGTCTAGTAGTTGTGTATTATTCAACGCTGGTTGTCACTGTGTAGGAAGAAGTATGGGCTGTCACTTTTAGGTCTGCTGCCCTCAGGGTTATCAGTGAGAGGCAGGGGCAGGAAAGGGCTGGAGCTTCCCAGGCTGCTCATCTTACCTTTGCTGGCTCAGGAAAGGGCTGGCAGCAGGTTTTGGTGATGCACAGCTGCTACCACATGATGCAAGGAGTTGTCAACAAGAGAGCATATCCTGAAATCTGCTGTTGTTTAGCAGACATCACAGAGCTGGCAGAACTTTTTTTTTTCCAGCAGTGGAATTCCCCAGCAAGTGGCAAGGCTTGGGGAGAGGCAGTTGCAAGAAGCAAGTCAGGGAGACTGGGAATTGAGTGCCTGACGTTGAGGGACCTGCCAAGTGCTTGTTCACCCCAGCTGAGAGTTGGTTTTGGCAGTGCTGTGCCTGGACAGAGTCACTCATCAGTGCTCAGGGGGCAGCAGCAAGGTGCTTACAGCCTCTTTTCCCCACTCAAAGATGAAGTAATCTGGGCCACCTCAGGAGCTGCCTTTGCTGCTGTGTCACAGGGGGAAGTTTTTTTGTGCTCCCTTTCCCACTGCTCGCCCTCATGACTGCAGCAGGTCAGCTTGTCTCAGCTCACTGAGGTTCTGTGCAGTGGGACCCAGCCTGCATCTCTCAGGGGTGGCTTCTTGGGCTTCTGTAATTGCTGAGTCTCACTATGAAATGTCACAGCCTGACTGCCCAAAGAGGCAGCAGTTTATCTTCTGACCAGCAATGCAGCCACTCTGACAGAGCCCTGTTGAGAGGCATGCAGGAATTACCACCTCCTCTTGTTTCCCAGCCAGGGCCTCGGTGCTGAGCTGATGGGCCTGCAGGTGGATTACTGGATTGCAGCTCCACCCGTGGACAGGAAGAGAGACCCAGAGAAGAAGGACCCCTCCACCACCAAAAACACACTGAAATGCACTTTCCGGTCCCTGCAGGTCAGCAGGCTCCCCGCCAGCGGCGAGATCGCCACCACGCCAACCATGTCCATGACTGTGGTGACAAAGGAGAAGAACAAGAAAGGTGAGGTGTCCTTCTGTCCCTGTCATATTTCCTGAAAAATCCCCAGAATTTCTTCTCCTGAGAAGCTTCAGAAAAGAATGAAAACAATCATTATCTGATTACTTCTGCTGTGTTTGCTGCTTTGGAATGTGGTCTGGAGATCGTTTACCAACAGGTGCCTGTTTAATTGGTTTCCTGTGGATTGTTTTTACTTAATGACCAATCACCATCACCTGTGTCAGACTCAGAGGAGTCAGTCACGAGTTTTTATTGTTCATTCTTGTTAAGCCTTCTGTCTGTATCCTTCTCTTGCTTTAGAATAGTTTTAGGATAGTATAGCATAATATAATATATGATATATAATATATGATATATAATATAATAGGATATAATATATGATATATGATATATAATATATATGATATATGATATATCATATAATATCAGCCTTCTGAGAACATGGAGTCAGATTCCTCATCTCTCACCTCGTCCTGGGGACCTCACAAACTCAACATCCTTCTGTCCCTGTGCTGCTGCTCCAGGGCTGCCTGACTTGTCAGTGCTGGATTGCAGCACCTCAGTCCTATTTTTACCCCCAAAATCCAAATCAGTTGCTGAGGAGTGGTTGTGTGAAGTGACAGGGTTTGGAAGGGTGGTTGCTCTGCGTGAGCTGAAAAGGGGATGTGTTCACCCTGGTGGCTGAAGTTAAAAGATGGTATAGCCCAAAAGAGCAAAGGTGGGGACAGAGCAAGGACATGCCTGGACAGTTTCCCTGTGTTCCTTGGGAGCCTGCTGGTGCTGTGTTGGGATATTGGATTAGATAAGAGGCAGCTCATGCCCCAGCACCAGTGAGAGTAAATGAGCCCCTCCTTTCTGGCAGTGTGCTGGAGACTTGGGATAGCTTTACTTTCTGGGATGATATCCCCATCCTATGAGCCTTCAGCTCAAAAGAGCCACAAAGAATGAAAGAGGCATGTAAGGGGAAACAAAAGCCCAGCAAGTATCACAGATCCCTGTGAGGTGACATAACAGGAGTACCCCTGAACTGGAGTCTGGGGCCTCCCTCTCCCCTGGGCACCCACTCCACAAGAGCCAGTGAGGGCATTCAGAACCTGGAGCAAAGTTCTGGGAGGAGCAGCTGAACTGGGGGTGTTCAGCCCACAGAAAAGGAGGCTCAGGGTGACCTTATCACTCTCTACCACTACCTGAAAGGAGATTGGAGCAAGGTGGCAGTCAGTCTCTTCTCCCAGGTAATGAGAGACAGGGCATGAGGAAGTAGCCTCAAGGTTTGCCAGGGGAGATTTAGATTAGCTATTAGGAAAAATTTCTTCACCAAAAGGGTTGTGAAGCCCTAAAAGGGGCTGCCCAGGGCAGTGATGAAGCCACCATCCCCCCATGCTTGGAGGTATTTAAAAGATGTATACATGTGGCACTTGGGGACATGGTTTAGGGATGCAGTTGGCAGTGTTAGATTAGCAGTTCAATTCATTGACCCTGGAGATCTTTTCCAACCTCAGCAATTCCATGATTTTATAATTCTTATGCTTTTGCACAGAATGCTTTGTGGGTCAAAAGGAAGTAGAAGATAAATACTCTCCAGCTCTTAAACTTGTGGCTTTATTTTCTCAAACCAAACTAACAAAATGGCATTTTGAATGTTGTCAGTGATTTTGTGTTTGCTCCTGGCCTTGGTAATGTGAAACATTTTAGAAATTGAGAACAGCTCTGCAACAAATTATTTTCAAGGAAGCACAAGGCAGTTCTGCATTTATAGTTTGCCTGCCAGTAGTTGTCCTTCACAACCTCCTCTGCCTGTGGGCCTGGGAGTCACTCCTGGTGGACTCTGAGGGAAGGCTGGCAGGGCCTCCTGGGCTGCAGGCCATGGGTGCACAGCCCTCAGCCAGGTCAGTGCCAGGCCAGCACCGCTGTGGTGCTGAGCTGCCAGCCCTGGTGACCCCCTTTGGGAGTGTCCTGCTGGTGGGACAGTCCTGAGACACTCCAAACGTTCTACCCTGGGGTGGCCCAGCCTGCAGCAGAGGTGTTCAACAGCACCAGCTTTTGTGAAACCAGTTTGTACATCTTTGCTCATGCACTTGGACAGTTTTTGGGGAGCTGGACCCTTTTTTAGTTCTCCTTATGCCTTCCCTCCCCACCAGCTGCCTCCATTTTGTAATCCCTCCTGCTCTCCAGGCTGTGTTGAGCAGTGCAGCCGGCCTGGCACTGCAGATGCAGATGTTTTCCCTGTATGGTGTCCCAACAGAGGGCCCAGCTCATGCCCTTTGGGATCAGGATTATGAGCTGGGAAGGCTCCACAAAGAGACATTTAGGAATAAGATGCTCATGTGCATCAGTGATGGTGCTCAGCACTGACAGACTCCTGCCAAAAAGGGAGGACCTTAGGAGTAAGAATTGTCAGACAGGAATGTTTAAATGCAAAAGCTCAAACAAGAATCAGTGCAGCTCCTGCGAGTGGCACAGATTGACCTTGTGCTGGTTTGCTTTTCTTCCAGTGATGTTTTTGCCCAAGAAAACAAAGGACAAGGAGGTTGAGTCAAAGAGCCAGTGTATTGAAGGAATCAGCAGGCTGATTTGCACAGCGAAACATCAGCAGAACATGCTGCGTGGTGAGTGCATCCCTCTGGGTGCTGGGGCAAGGCTCACATGCTGGGATTGTCCTCCAGGCAAAGGGCTGGGCTGGTGTCCTGCCCTGTGCCCTGAGCCAGCGTGGTGGGGATATTCCTGGGGAATGGGCTTCGGTGTGCCCAGCATGGGGAAGGCTCTAATAGGTCTGGGATGTGGGAAAATCCTCCTTTAGCTGGCTCTGAGTCAGTGCTCTGCATGAGGACCAGGGTTGGACAGGGCTCCATTCCCCTCTCTGTCATCCCCTGCTTCTCTTGCACATCTGGTGCAAGTGTTGGTTGGTGGCAGGTGGTGACATTGTGGCTGCCCCTCCGGGCAGGACACTGGCACATGCTCATGCCACAGCAGGAGCCATATATGCATCTTGTAGACAGACCTGGAGTGTCTGTCAGTGGAGCTGGGCATCCAGGAGCAAAAATACCCCTGTAGCCTGTTCAGTTAGTCATCCCCAACAGAGGGACCTGCTTGGGTCACCTCCTTCATCCTGGCCTGGTCCCTGGCAGGCATGAGGGGCGCTCACAGGACATGTGTCACCTCTCTGGGACACATGGGTGTCCTGGTGAGAGTGCCAGTGAGGAGAGACTGATGTCCATCTCCGTAAAAGTGCATTTGCCCAAAAAAGAAGATGAGGTGTGCTGAGGAAATCTGAGAAGCCGGATCAGGTGACACTGCAATCAGCAGTGTGGGGAGCTCTGGTGTCAGTGAGTGATGCTGGAACAACAACCCGAGCTCTTCTCCCCAAACGTGGTGTGCTCCTTTCTCCCTGTGAGTGCAGCTGAGTGGGGCAGAGCAGCTGAGCGTGGCCAGGCTCCCTCTGCCGACTGCAGGGGAATTATGGCAGAGCTGCCTCAGGCTGGCCTCTTCCCCTCAGCATTTCCTAACTCTGCTCTCCTTTCACCCTCCCCTGCAGTCCTGATCGACGGCGTGGAGTGGAACGACGTCAAGTTCTTTCAGCTGGCAGCACAGTGGTCCTCTCATGTCAAGCACTTTCCCATCTGCATATTTGGACACTCCAAATCCAACTTCTAGCTGTGCTCGGCGCAGGGACCTTCTGCCCATCCCGAGGACTGCACACCAGGAGCCAGGAACTGCGTGCCAACTCTGACTCGCGTCGCTCTGCCCTCTCCTGCAGAATTAATTACAGATGTGCTTGGATTACTTTGGAATTACTTTTTTCTATTAACTCTTAAGTTTACTACAAAGGAAGGAAACCCCTTTAAACAAAGGCAAAAAAAAAAACCCAACCAACCAACAAACCAGTCTTAAATATAGATGTGCTGACAACGTGAAGTCGTGGGGGAGTTGGCAGGAGCAGGCAACCTGCCCAAGAACACCTACCACTTACGAGCAGATAGCTGAGTAACTGCACTGCTTATTAACCTGAGACCTCATTGGTGTGAGTGGGCTGGGGGAGCCGTGGATCAGCTCAAACAGATTTGCAGAAGATCGTGTGGGTTACGTGCGTTTGGCCCCCGCTCTGTATTTCTAGGAGAAAAGGATGGCCAGTCTTTCTTCCTGCTGCCAAAGGATGAGAGATCAGCGAGTCTGGAGGGAGTTCAACTGTCTGGTGTGGAAAACAAAGCCACTTGCAGAGTTAGGGAGGTCTGGAGAGGAGATCCCCTTCGGGGCATGAAGCCTGCCATAGGGAGAGGCAGGTGTTGGTGCTGAAGCGATGCCTGAGGAGGGTTGGGCAGGAATAGGAATTAGGGAATCACTAAGTATAAGGAAACTCCCGTGTCCCAGGTCTGTGACAATGACCAAACCTGGCCAGTCTCTGTGTTCCCCAGCTGGCTGTGCTGCTGAGGGGCACCACGTCAGTGGGGTCGCTGCTATTACATACTCACACCGATTATTTACCTGTCAATAAAACCTCGTCCAGCCTCGAAAGGGAAAGGATTTTTTTCAACAGCTGCAGATTTTTTTTAATGCTTTCTAAAAAAAATAAAATAAAATAAAAACAAAAAATAACAGGAAAAATATTAATTTGCCAAAAAAAACCCCACAAACCCAGGAAGCTGAGCCGTTGTCTGTGGAGTGATGCATCACTGTAGTGGCTGGACTGGGAGCCAGGCAGGCACTCTGTGTGTCCAGCTGCCTTCCTGCCCATGTGTCACACTGCACACCTGGGGTGGCACAGGCTGCTCTGTCAGGTTCTGGCTGGGGTATGGGGAGCAGGCTGTTGTTGCCGTGTGGAAGAACAGACATCTCTGGCATTTCAGGCTAAGGGGCTGAAATTTCTGATGGGCCCTTTTGGGTCCCCCCTTGTGGGCACGCCAGGCTCTGTGAGCATTTCCAGAAGGCACTTTCTGAGGGCAGTGATGCTTTTCAACTGTTTTCTTTTTATTTTGTTTCCCCCTGATCCCTTACCCTTGGGTTTCCAAAGGCGTGGGGAGCCTGCTTTGCTCTGCACGGCAGGTCCTGCTCTGCCTGGGGACCAGCTGGCTCCCAGGGCAGGTACTGGTGGTGTGCTGCTGGCAGGGAGCTTCTGAGGTGAGAGCTGCATCTTGTGCCTGTCACAGCTTGGGCTGCTTCACCAGCTGATGTTGTGGAACCCTTCCCAGCCAGGGGCTGGGTATTCCCTTCAAACCAGCAGGGAGGAGGACGCTGTCCCCAGCCTGGTGGCACGCTGCTGGGTAGGACACATTGTCTAGCTACAACACTGTGTTCTTCCTGCCTGCTGTGGGCTGGCTCTGGCTGTGGCAGAAGCTGGGCTGTAGGGGGATGTTGTTGTGTCCCTCAGCTGATGTTTTTGGGTGACCTGAGCTGATGCTCTGGGGCTGTACAGCGTTGCCTAGCAGCGGCAGCGTGGGAGAGGGTGTATAAGCACATCACATCTTTATCGAGGCTGTTGCATCAAAAAAAAAGCTTTGTAAAAGGAGATTAGTCAGTGTGTGATTTCTCCCTCGAATCTCACACTGGTGTGACAAGGGTGATTGGGCTGGGTTCCAGCTGTGTGCAGCCTGGGCAGCTCTGGTGGTGCTGCTGCAGAGGTGGGTTGGACTGACTGACTGACTGACTGACTGCAATAACTTTGTTTACTGGGGGGTGAGGGGAGAACCATCACTGTGCTCCTCTTTGTATTTCAACCTACTGTAAAGAAGAAATCTGGTAGCTAGGACAGGATTTCCAGAGTCCTGCCTATCAAATGTGTGTTGCCCTGCTGTACTCTGTGTGTGTATGTGTGTGCGTGTATGTGTGAGAGAAACACTTCTGCTCGTTGCATTTCATGTTGGTTTGTGTTTTGTTCTGACTTTATACGAGCAAATTCATCGGGAGCCTCTCTGTACACCTGAGGGCTTGATTTCCCCTGTGTGGAAAGCTGTTGTTGCTCTGAACTGCGTCTTCCATGCAAGAAAACATCCTGACTCCTCAGCCTTGTTATCCCAAAGGCAGTCCAGCATGGCAGGCTGGGCCTGCCTGTGGGCAGCTGTGTGCCCAGGGGTGGCTGTGGTGTTTCCTGGCCCTGGAGGCAAGGGCTGGCATGCAAATTTGGTGGCACAGCTCTGATCAGGTTGTTGTGCCTCTGTTGTTTCTCCTGTGGAGCCACTTTGTGCAGCTGTTTCTGTCCCTGTCTAGAGTGGAAACAGTTTTCTGTCTCTAAGAAAAATGAATGTCAAAGAACATGGCTCAGACTGCTTTGGGAAGGAGCTTTAGATCTGGTCCCATGAATGAGTGACTGATCTCAGGTTTCCCAGCTTCCCCACAGTTTCTGGGGAAGTTTCTTGCTGGGAGTGAGCTCCACTGACCTGAAGGATCACCACTGTGGGATGAGGAGAAGTTTCTGGGGCAGCAGAGGGCCCGTGCCTGCAGAGCTGTGCCAGCCTGTGGGGTTGGGTTGTCGTGGCCGTGTCAGTGAGTGCAGAAGGATGGCTCAGAGCAGAGAGCTCTGTGTTCAGCTCTGGAGAGTTTGGGCAGGGAAGGTACATTTCAAATGAAGACACTCAGGAGGGCTATCTCCCTCATGCTTGCTTTGGAGCTGTGTGGTCTGACAGCAAAGGCAGGGCCTGGGCTGGCCAGCACCTGAGTGGCTCTCTAGCCAGGAGGTGCTTTGAAGGTGGTGTCCCCTGGTGTGTCCCTTTCTCTGTGTCCCAGAGGCCACCCCAGCCCCCTCAGGGCCGGTGTCTCCTGACTCTGGCTGTGGCTTCTCGGAGCTCTGGTTTCTGTTCCCGCTGCTGTGGGCCAGGCCCCCGGCTGGCTCTGGCTCGGGCTGAGCTCTGGGAGGGGCTGGCTCCGTGCTGAGCTGACCTAGTTTAGCAGCTCCGGAGAGCAGATGAAAGATGGAAGGGGTTTGTGGCATCGTGTTGCACCCCGAGCGCTTCCTGCTCCTCTGGCTTGAGTTTCCTGGAGACAAAGGCTGGGCTCCAGCCCTGCCAGTGCTCAGCCAGGGCTGGCTCTTCTCGGTGTCAGGGACATCTCGTGTGGCAGTTCCAGCTCCGTGCTGCAGTTCCCATCCAGCCCAGTTGTCACTTCCCGTGGCAGCGGTGACTGCAGAGCCCTCCTGAATTACACATGACTTCGGGGAGACCCGCGGTCTCTTTGGCTGTGTTTTGCTGCTTTAGTTAGAACAGGAGATAAAGCTTGTGGCTTTATCCTGCAGAGAGGGCAGGGGTCGGTGGCTGGAAGGTTTCTGAGGCTGAGGAGATGTGCTTGTTTGCTTTCCACCATCACACGCAGCCAGGAACCACACTGCCCTGTGCTTAACCTGTGATTGCAGCAAAGTCATGCTTCTCACCAGCAGCGTGTGCTGGCGGGAGCACTGGAGAGCCAGGACAGAGGATATTGCCCCTGGAGTCTCCAAAGTTAAGAGGGAAATCATGTCAAGAGGCAGCAGAACCAGTGGTCTTTTCCTGCTGCTTGGTGTGCTAAGGGTTTGGGAAACTGGGATTAGGACAGTGGGGCCATGCTGCTGTAAAGGGCTTGGGGCCCTGGAGCTTTCTGGAAATTAGGTTGGATGGGTCTGTCCCCTTGATCTCAGCAGATATTTGAGTGGTGGCATTTTAATGTAGCACTCTCTCTGGGCTTAACCTGACAGGAGAAGGTCAGAAATGAGCAGCAGCATCTCCTGGAGGTTTCCTGGAGCCTCTTCAATGGTATTCTCATGGGAGATGTTCCTGGCAGGGCTGGCTCCTGCAGGAAGGATCACTCTGGTGCTTTGGGACAGACTGGGGCAGAAGGGGACGTGCCAACTTGTGAAGCAGCAGGTTGCTGGTTTCCTTTAGGAAGAGGGCCACTGTTCTGGGGCCACATCCAGCCAGCTGCTGGCTGCAGCCCTGGCTGGGCAGTGGCTGGAGCGTGGCCTGCCTGGCTGTGGACGTGCCCCAGCCATGGGAAGCGCCTGAATCGCGGGGCTGCGTGCCACCAGGCTTGTCCGGCGTGAGAGGGGACGTTACCACTGTGTAGATTCCCGAGCTGTCCATCTGTTTCATTGTTGTATTGTTTGGGTTCTAGGGTTGTTTTTTATGAAGACAGATTAAATGTAAATAGCCTTTTTTTTGGAACAAACTGCAACGTGCTCGACCTCGTCAACTATTTTATGGTACTAATGCAACACTAATAAAACTGGACATGAAAGCACACACCCGTCCCCTGAGTCGTCTCTCAGCAGGGGCTGCTCTGGCATGCCCGGGGCACTTGTTTGCAGGAGGAAACAGCAGCATGGCTTTCTGCCCTGGGGGTGCTCTTGTGTTATTTATCCAGCTGCCACTTCCAGGGCAGAGCTGGTGGATTGGCACGTCCTTGCCAGCACCGAGCCCTCCTGTAGTTTTTGCAGCCCTGCTGCTCTCCCAGCTGCCTCCTCTCCCAGAAGGATCTGCTCACACCTCCTGCAGCTCTCCTGGATATGACAGCCCTCTCCAGCACTCAGTCCTCACCTCTGCACGGCAGGGAAGGACCAGGCTGGTGCTTGTTTCTCATCTGGGGGCTGTGTTGGATGGACACGGTGGTGTTGGGGTACCAAGGGGAGCCTGAAGCTGTGTGTGCTCCTGGGAGGACTGTGGGATGTTCAGGGATGTGTGGGATTCCAGAAACCTGGGCTTGGTGCTGGGGAGTCAGAAGGTGAAGAGAGGAAGGAAAGAGGAGAGCTAAGCTGTTGTTTTGAGGAAGGGAGGTGAAGAAGAAATTGTGAGAAATGGGCCTATGGCCACGGTCCTTAGGGTCCAGGATGCTGGAGGCAGAAATGGGAATGCTGTGCTGGAGCAGCCTGTATCCTCACACTGTCCTGACCCAAGGGTGAGGGATGGAGGGGTGGCAGCTGATGGAGCAAAGAGCTGGGGTGAAGGGAGCCCCTCAGAGCAGGCCAGGCTGCTCTGCAGGGACACAGGTCTCTGTGGATAGCTCAGATACTCAGCCAGGTGCAGATGCATTTATGGCCCAAGCCCTTTGCTGGAAGAGGGGACACAAAGCCCACACATGGTGGCACAGAGCAGGCATTGGATCATTCCAGGCAGGAGGAATGGGGGTAGCTCAGGAGAGGGCAAGATCAGTACTCTGGAGGGCAGAAACAGCACCTAAAGCCACGGAGGGGGCAGTGAAATGGTTGGTGGTGAATGGGGGGGCACTGTGGGAGAGCTGGGGGAGACAAACACGTGAAGGCTATGTTCTGGCTGGGTATTTTCTGCACAGGTTCAGCTGTAAACTTGCACTGATGGCCTGGCTCTATGAAAGAGGCACATCCTGAGCATCACCTTTTAGAGCCCATGGAGGAATCTGTCTCAGCAAGTGAATATGGGTGTGAGTGGAGAGGCTGGGGTGGTGGGAAGGCTCGTGTGCTGCTGGGGGAAGCAGAGGACCAGCCCCACATCAGCAGGGAGAGCACCAAGCCAAGGGCCCTTGGCACACTCTGCTGTTGCTGGGAAGAGAGAAGGAAATGAGGGCTGGGTGGAACAAGAATGACTTTGGGTCAGAGTGTAGCAGGTTGCATGCAATGGGCCTGGAGAGCCTCCCTCTTTCACATGCACTAGGACAGATGAATTTCTGCCAGGCGGCCTAGGCTCTCAAAGCACTGACATCTTTCTTTTGCAGCTCTGGGTACCACGTGCTCAGACCTTCAGTACCATGGGAGAGGTGTCAAATGCAAGTTCTGCCTGCCAGGACGCACCAAAAGCCCTCTGGGAGGTCTGGGTTTGCACGGTGGGAGTCGGTGGCACCCATGGGAGCGGGGTTTGGTGGTGGCAGATGGGGCATTGCAGGAGCTCTCTCCTTCTCAGGCTGAGTGTGGCAGCTCCAGCTCGCCTCCCTCCCACTGCACAACACCCTGGCCCTGACCCCAGCTGCTGCTTAACCTGGAAGAGGAACAGCAGGGAAGATCCAACACGTTTTTCTCGCTATGGTTTAGAACACGATTTAGCATTTGGAAGAAGTAACCAGGGCCGTGTGACCGTCCGCTTCTCCGTGTGCAGCTACCGAGTGCGCTGGGACGCCATTTGTAAATATTTGTTCTGGATAATTTTTCTGTGTCCTACTGGATTATTTTGAGCTCGGCAGAGTGGCCAAGCCCTCGTGTCCTGCGGTGTGTCCGGCGCCGGTGCCGGCACGCGCTCCCCCAGTGCCTCGGAAGG